AGCCCATGTACAGCCGGCCCTCTGGCTCTTGCCTCTGCTCCCCTCTTCAGTCTCAGCACCTTTCCTGTCCTGGGGAGAGTTCCCCAGGTGAAAGGAGGTAGCAGCCACCTGTGCAGACCGGAGGGGACTCCAAGAAAGACCTGAGTTAAGGCTTGGGGTTAGCGAGAAGCAGATCCAATTGGGATACTGGGGGCAGGGGTGCCCCTGCAGCCCCTCTGGAGCCACGGGGCAACTGGAGTCCTACCCGCCTCCACGTCTCCAGGGAGCCTGTGTCCCGAGCAGTAGCAGCAGTCCAGGAAGATGACATAGTTGAGGACGTTGAAGAACAGCCCGATGATGCCCGTGCCCAGCACCAGCAGCGGCTGCTCGGTCTTCTGCGGCGTGATGTATCGCTTGACGGCCTCGATCAGGATGCTGAACATGAGCGCCACGGCGAAGAGGGAGTTGCCGAAAGCGCCCACCACGTCGGCCCGCAGGAGGCCGAACGTGCTCTTCCTGTGCTGCTGGACGTGGCTGGCCCAGAGGCTGAAGAGCCCGATGATCATGGAGACCAGGTGCGAGAGGACGGCAAAGGCATCGGAGGCCAGCGACAGGGAGTTGCCAATGTAGGCGACCACCAGCTCCAGCACGAAGAGCAGGAGGCTGACGAGGCACATGAGGACGAGCCGGCAGCTCCGGCCCGAGTACCGACCCATGGTGCCGCGGCTGCGGGCAGGCTCACGGCGCCGCCCGCATCACTCTCCCTCCAGCTCCTCTGCGCTGTGCCTTTGGAAATCACCTTTTATAAGCCGCTATAAAGCCATAACACAGTGTAAAGGGCAATTAAGCAAGAGCGGTCACGTGAGCCGGGATGCCATAAAAAGGAAGGTGCTGGGCAGACACCAAGGGACTCCTTTAGAGCCTGGGTGGGTCCCGCTGTTGGAGTCCCAAGGCCCAGCAACTGTGTGTCTTTGGATCATGCAAGTAGCACCTCTGCTGGCCGTGACCTGCCCAGCTCCATGTGCAACATAGGTTCTGGGAGCTGAAGTCACGGGCGGCCACCATCGGATCTTATCTAGCTGGGGTGTAAATGGCTGTGAACGCTGATGGCTGCGTGCTTCAAGGGAATATTCTCGGGGGTCAGTGACCTGGAGACCTCAGCTGCAGGCGGGAAAAGGCAGCATGAAGTGAAACGCTCCCTGCCTTCTGAAATAGGAGACATAGCTGCGCTCCCGGCAAACATTCTCACAAGATCAGGAAAGCCTGCCTTGCTTCAGGAGAGGTGAAATGCCTTCCACAGAGGCACTAGAGGACCTCCAGTTAACTTCAGGAAAAACACATTGTCTCTTTTTTTGTAGGGTAGGGCTGCTTGGACCACACCCTACTCTGCTTAGGACTTTTTTTCTGGTTCTGTGCTCAGGGATCACTCCGGTGTTGCTCAGGAGTTCATACGTGGTGCCAAGAAACGAACACGGGTGCAAGGTGAGTGCCCTAACAACTGTCCAATCTCTCAGCCTCCCACACCCCTGTCCCTTTTGAGTTTTGTTGTTGTTATTGTTGTTTGGGGGGCACGCCTGGCAGTACTCAGGGATCACTCCTGGCAGGGCTCAGGGGAGGGACCATCCCGGGAGCTGCTGTGTGCAAGGCAAACACCTCTGCAACACTATCCACAGTAGCCCAAATCTTGAAACGACCCAAGTGTGCATGAATAGATGACTGGAGAAAGAAGCTATGATACATACAATGATATGCTACTCAGTTATAAGAAAAGATGAAGTCATGAATCTCATTGCTACACAAAGGGACCTGGAGAGTCTCAGGCTGAGTGAAATTACATCAGGAGGAAAGAAACCGACACAAAATGATTATCATATGCGGGGATATAAAGAAACCTAACGGGGTAATAGCGAATACCCAAAGACAGCGGAAACAAGGAACTTGAGAACTGATAGGAAACACGTCTCTTGAGGGGGCTGGGGGTTAGAGTGGGGAGGAGGCAAGGGCTATGAGGAGGGAAGCGTCCAGCTGGGAGGAGGCGGCGCTGCTGAAAGGTGGGAGAGTGTCACATGTGAAACCCTATCAGCGACAACACTGTGAACAAGTCAGAACTGTTTCTTTCCTTATGAGTTCGGTCTGTGGGCATGAGATACGAGGATTGAGGCCAAGTCACGCCCCCCCACCCCAGCTGGCCGATGGCGACAGATGAACGGAGGCTAACCGGCTGGCGGATAATCAGTCGCCATTTATTCATGTCTCACAGTCAGTTATAGAAAAATCGTCAAGGGTTGGGGGTAGCAATTATACATAGGTGTGGTTGAATATGATCATAAGCAGTGAACAGATGTAAAGCCCTTCCTTCAGGGGAAGCTCTAGGAGACACTCAAGGACAAAATCGCATCCTACCAGGAGATCCACCCAAGGGTGGAATTCCATCTAAGCATGTATTACCTTCTCCTATCCTTAGCCCATATCCATTTAAACGGTCATCTTAAATTTACTTCTTAATAATATTTCTAATCATTTTGTATGGACCAGGTATGACCCAAAAAGCAAAAAAAAAAAAAAAAAGACATAACTATAAAGTATGCAAAGGACATAAAGGAAAAGAAAAGCAATGCTTTACTTATATATACAAAATCCAGAGTCCTCAGAAGAATTTGACTTTTCAAATCACAGGGTCTGATTTGGGGATGTTAGTGATTAACAGGGGGAGGACAGGCTAATGATAAACACAACACAACAGGGATTGTGAGTCCTTCATGGAACTGGGTGTGCCTTGGGATCAAGTTCCCTGCAAGGGTGGGGGTGGGGGTGTGGTAAGGAGAAAGACAAACCAATGTTACCCAACATCTCCTAAAATCAGGCTGGGAAGCAAAGGAGGACATTGGTGGAGAGAAGTGGACGCTGGTGAAGGGATGGGTGTTGAAACATTGTATGCTTGAGACCCAATCATGAATCACTTTCTTAAGTTCACAGTGACTATAAGTAAGTAAAAAAATAAATAAAAATAAAAGAAGCAATGAAAAATTTCTGGGATTGGGAGTAATTCCAGGAAAAACCCCTGAGCACCACCTGGTGTGACCCAACAAGCAAAAGAAAAAACAAAAAGATAAAAAAACGCAGAGTCAGGGGTTCAGAGAATCCGTATCAATCACATCCCCCTCCTACCAAGAATCAGAGGGCTTGAGGGGTTGGAGCTCCTTTGCATATACAAGTCCCAGAGTTTGCTCCTCAGCACCACCTGGGCCCCTGAGCCCATAGGGGCCCTAGAGGACCCCAGTAGCCCGGGTCCAAGTAGGACCATATCACTGAAGCCTACAGACAACTGAGTAACCACTGACGGCCCCGGCCAGGAGCACTGCTTGGAGGCTCTGTCTCAAAAAGGGAGAAAAACAGAGAAAAGAATGACTACCTGAGACACGGCTTTTTTTTTTTTTCATATAGCAACCACTCCTGGCAGTGCTCAGGAGCCTCCAGACGGAGTTCCAGGGAGCCAGGTCAGGACCATGCCTGCAGGAATGTGCTCTGCCCCTGCCCCTGAGCACCAGCCGCAGCTGCCACTGTTCCAGAGCCCAGAGCCAGGTTGGCCAGCAGGGGACCCTTCAGCATGTGTGTGAAATTCAAAGCAAGACTTTCCGATGGGCAGATCTAGTTTTCGTCTCCCACGCATGCATCTCATCTCTCCTCCAGAAGGGACAGCCCGGGGCCAGGAATGTGGCTGCAGCCTTGCAAACACTCTCTGAGCAGGTAGGAATCTGGGGCAATCAGGCGGTGGTTCAGAGCAGTCAGCTGAGTGAGGCCGAGGCCACCCAGTTGTGCATCCCCTGAGGTTTCCTTCTGGCGGGAGGCCACTCCCAGAGTGCTCAGGGGTCCAGGGATCTCTCCCAGTGGTACTGGGGCAACCAGGCCTCAGGGTTCAGTGCCGCATGTTGCTGCGCCACCAGGACCCCCGGCAGCCCCTGGCAAAGCCTTTCGTGGATATGTTGTGTACTGGGAATTCACTCTGGGACCTGTGGCCCCTCGGCTGGCCCGTCTCCCCAACCCCTCAGAAGTGTTTCTCATTAGCTCACTGAGTTCGGACAACAGGCTTTACAGAGGCTACAAAATGTCCAATGCAGGCTGCGCAGAGCTCAGGGTGCTGAGCACACGTCGTGCATGAGGCCTGGGTGCCACCCCTCACACACATGGTCCCCTGAGTACCCACCGCGAGTGGCCCCCAGCACCAAGCTGCGTGACCGCAGCGCACTGATGAGCAATGGACGCCCCGGCCCAGCATGGCCTGGACTCTTTCGGCACGAGTGAACGTACATAGGCGGACACCCTGGCCCCAGCCCAGCGTGGCCTGTGGTCTGTCCTTCGGCATGAGTGAGTGTACACAGGCAGCTGTCAGTCCACGCTGCTTCTGCCGGCACGAAACATCCTGCTCGTAGGGCAGGATTCCTGACACAGACCCAGTGGTGAAGGCCACGGCTTCTCTCCTTACAAAAGCCTGTTTATCCTTCAGAGTTTAAAGCTGATGTCTTGGGCCAAAGCAATAGTACAGTGGGTAGGGCACTTGCCTCACAAAAGGCTGTCTGAGTTCAGTCCCCAGAATACCATGTAGTCCCCTGAACCATATCAGGAATGGTATGAGTGCACCACCTGGTATGGCCCAAAGTACAACACCCGCTCCCCACAAAAAACCCAAAGCAAACACCCCTCCCCCACAAAAAACCTCCAAAAACCAAACAGCACAAATGGCATCCATTGCCATCCGTGCGTGCTAAAAGCATGCTGGACAGGGCCCTGAAATTAAGTACAGTGAGGCATGAAGCCCCCCTCTCCCCTGCTACCCCGGGCACTGAGACAAAGGGACAGAAAGGAATGGAAGCAGCCTGCTGAGGACTAGCACACGCAGGCCACGGTCCAAGGCAGGATCACTTCCCTGGGGGCCCCCAAATGCAGGTATTGGAGAAACGGGTGCACAGAACAGTTACAGTTCATGATATTTATTACCAGAAAAGCCTTTTACCCACTATTAAATTAAGCATAAGAACAGGTGCCCATCCCATGCAACTTCCTTTTAGAACTTCTATTTGTAAAAAATTGTCAGATGGTCTCCATCTGGGAGGCGGTGGGCCACTGTTCAGGAAGCGTGCCGGTGGGGAGCTCCCTAGTAGCTCCGGCCAAACAAGGTGTAGTACTTGGCAGGGTTCTTGCCGCAGATGCACCGAGTTCCGGGCTGCAGCTGCCTAAGGGGTTGGAAGGGGATGCAAAGGCTTTTTGCCCCCATAGACGGAGCCCCGGGCTCCAGATCCTGATCCCTGAAAAGAGAAACAGAGACACAGTGTGTCAGCAAGACGAGCTGCTCCCCCTCCCTTCCCCTCCCCGGAGCCCTATGAGGGCACTTACCTTGCCGTGGTCTTCTTGATCCAGTCCTCACAGTCAATTTCCCCGCAGAACGGAATCTGCACGATCTGCCAGAAAAGGAATAGTGGTGAGAAGGGGCACCTGGGGAACTGTCCACAAGTTACAGGCAAACAGGCTGGTCCTTCAGCCTCTCGGCCCTCTGCAAACCTGCCAACAACTCTGCTCAAAGGTGCAAATGATCAGAAAGGACATTTGTGCACCACGAGAAACACATACACCTCACACATCAGGGCACGACAGTGACATCTTCGTGAGACACTGAAATTGCAAAGACTGGCCCAAAGGGGCCTGGAGGGAAGGCGCGCGCCTCCGAGTCCCTCCCTGTTCTGAACCCCAGTGGGTGCGGTTCTGCCAGGCAGACTGAGGGTGGGAGCTAAGGGCAACAGCAAACGCTATTCCGAGTGTTAGCAGCAACAACAGACAATCAGGTACACATCCCGTTTTTAACATACTACAGGGAAGTGAATCACTTTTATTACGCTGCAAGGTATGAAAGTCAAATAAAAATTTGTATTGAAAATTTTCTTTCCCCAATCCACAGAGAATATCGGGTCAGAATCAAAACACCTGTGAGTGGGCCCTAACTGTGACCAGGCCCTAACTATGACCTTTCCAACCTCTATGAAGATCTTGAGCTCTGAGTTTTCCTTCATAAAATGTGGAAGGTATGCTAGACAAGTTCGGGAATGTCTCCTGATTGTGAATCCTACATTTTCCCACGCACGTGTGATTCAAATTGAGGTCCATCTCCGGTTACCAAGTCCAGAGCAATGACTAATTCTGTAGTAATTCTATGGAATATTCTGGGCACTTGCTCAGTGACAGGGGCATCACGGGTGTGGCCATTCTCCATAGGGGAAAATGCCCGTTTCAAAGGACCAGGGACTGTGCTGTGACTTTGTGGTAAAGTTCATGCTTTTCCCTGGGTTCAGTGTCTGCAGAAGCAATAAATTCTGAAAAGTAGCTGCCAGAAAGTTTGTCCCCAGCTTTTGTTCAATCATCCCTTGTCACGTATTTCAAACTTTTTTTGTGGGAATCCCTCCTGCAAATCCTGCCTTCCACATGCAATGTGGCAAAAGCTCTTTCCAAAGCTATTCGGTGGGCTGGAGCACTTGGACAGCGGGTGAAGTGCCTGCCACACTCTCAGGCCCCAGGGAAGAAGCCTCGTCATGAACACACTACAAAACCAGCAAAACCTGAGGGACACTTACAAGTAACAAGCCCTGAAATTTCCAATTGTCTGCAAACAATCTAGTCATGGGAAGGATTTTAATTTCTTTCCCCCCATGTTTATGTTTAAAAAGCAGTCTTTTGCAAAAGAACCCCTTTGTACAAATATGCACCATACCACTGTCTTCCTGTTATTCACTGATTTGCTGGAGCGGGCACCAGTAACATCTCTATTGTGAGACTTGTTGTTACTGTTTTTGGCATAACAAAATGCCACAGGGAGCTTGCCAAGCTTTGCCGTGGGGGAGGGATATTCTTGGTACCTTGCTGGGCTCTCTGAGAGGGGTGGAGGAATTGAACCTGGGTCAGTCGAAAGCAGGGGAAATGCCCTACCCACTGCGCTGTAGGAAGTATCAATAACTGCAGGGAGGTCTGTCAACAGTCAAATTCATGTTCATGTACAGAGATTTCACACTGGAAAAATCTGCTGGAAGGCCTGTAAATCAGATTTTTTTCCATTCGTATGAACAGGACAGAGTCAAAAATCAAATTCTCACCTACATCCAAGTTCCAAAGATTCCCCTTCCGCCTTGCCCCCTCTGAGCAAACACAGCGTTACTGACAAAGGCCCCAGAAGCTGTAGTCCAGCGTGCAGGAGGTAGGCGGACAGAGCAGGGCTGGACTGAAAAGAGTCGGCGGGTCCTGGTGCTCTTTGGACACTCCAGGCTACCGGAGAAGTGATGTTGCAAACTCTCCAGTAGCTTATCTAATATTAGTCTAAAAGATAAGATTCCACTAATGTGCTGAGATACATTTCTTTGAAAAAGCAATGGATTAACCAAGTTACCCTATTGATTTATTAACTCGGAGGCAATGTGGTATTTCTAGGCCCTGGTGCAGAAGTGTAATTTTGTGAAAAAAGGCAAATGTAGTAAATACAGTAAAGGCAAACTGTGAATAAAAGCGACCATTCCTGGGACAAATAGAGCCACAATAAAGAATTTCAAAGGTAGCACCCCAAGAATGAGAAGAGAGGATGGTGGATCCAGAGGGAATTTGAGTGCTAATGACTTTGTACCACTTTGACAGTTAGTAAATGGAAAGATACTAACATTTCCCCAGTTCATATTAACAAGAGAACTACTAGGTGGTTACAAACACACAGTTAAATTGTTGCCAAATGTCCTCAGCATAGCTTTTTAAAAAAAAAGACATAAAAGAGAGAGTAAGAGTTTCCCAAGAGGAGAGAGAGAGCAAATGGGAATGCCCTGCCACAGAGTTGGGGTGGTGGGTGGGATGCTGGGACCATCGGTGGTGGAGAATGGGCACTGGTGGAGGGATGGGTACTTGATCATTGTATGACTGAAATGCAAGCACTGTTGTTTGTAAGTCTGTAACTGTACCTCAAGGTGATTCACTAATAAAAATTTAAAAAAAATAAAGAAAGGTAAGAGTTTACATTCTGGCCCAGATCTGCTGTCACCTGGGGTAATGCACCCAGACTCAGACCTGTGGCTTTCTCACATAATCAAACATGTCACTAAAGCTAGTAATTCATCCCAGTAGTTTCTAACTTTGAATATCAGGGTCTCCTCTTTAAGAAAATCAAACATTTTGGCTAGGAACACCTGCATCCAAACAACACAGAGAGTGACAAAAAAAACCCTATACTTTTTTTTTTTTTTAAGTTTTGGGGTCACACCCAGCGGTGCTCAGGGCTTACTTCTCTATGGTCAGGAATCACTCCTGGTGAACTATGAGCTGGGAACTATATGGATGCCGAGGATCAAACCCATGTTGGACACGTGCAAGGCAAATGCCCTCCTGGCTATACTATTGCTCCAGCACCAAAACCTACGTAGTTTAAGAAGCCAAAATTACCCACTCTTTCTGAAAATTAGACTTTTACAGTAGTAGTATTTTCCCCTTAATTATACCAAAAGCTTATTAAATTAAAATCTTGTTAAGTATATTCTCTGGTCCAGAGAACAGTAAGAAAGACTTGTTACTTTAGGAATCTACAAATTATATTACTAAAGCTAAAATAAACAGTTCAGGCACTTTCACCAAGCTGAAAAAACAAAATGCAAACCTGCAATAATGAAAACACAAGGGTTCATGGGAATGAACGCTGCTCGGCGAACATACTGAGCATGAGAAACAGCTTTTACATAATCGGGTCACAGGGTCAGCCCAAATGCAAGCATACTGCCAAGCTTTAGCAGTCCGGAAAAACGAGCACAGAATTCATTTCACAGGAAAAGAAATAAATATCATGAATGAGTTTTCTAAGTTCTTCACAGTCACTGTCCTCCCACTGTTCATCCATTTTGCTCGAGTGGGCCCAGTAACGTCTCCACTGTGACACTAGTTACTGTGTTTGGCATACCAAATATGTCACGGGTAGCTTGCCAGGCTCTGCCACGTGGTTGAGATACTCTCGGTAGCTTGCCGGGCTCTTGAGGGGTGGAGGAATCAACCTGGGTCAGCCGGGTCGGCTGCGTGCAAGGCAAACATCCTGCCCGCTGCGCTATCACTCCAGCCTACTGAGTTCTTAAAGTGTCATATACTGAGTGTGTACTTGTGGGGGTGGGGGTTTGTAGCCACATGGGTGGGGCCAGGTCTCTCTCAGGCCCACACTCCGCCCCCAGAGCCCGCCAACTCCAGGCCACCAGGTTCTGCTTCTCCGGCTTCTCCCACAGGTCTCTTACCTTTCCCGAGTCGAGTGCCTTCTGGAAGTCTTCCATTGTATCCGAGACAACCATGTGGGTCCTGAGGTCTTCAGAAGCCCTGGCAACAAACCAGTAGAGGGCATGAACACTTCGCTCACGACTGTGCGAGAGCTGAGACACCACGAGCAGAGGAATGGGACATCTCTGGGCAGTGAAGAGCCATTGATCTCACCTCAGCACAGGGCAGGGAGGGCGCCTCTCTAACTGCCCTTCCATTTCTGCTGACCAGCCCAGAGTCCAGGCCTGGGAGCATCTGAGTTATCCTGCAAAACGCTCAGATCTCTCTTCCTAGCCAACACCAACCACTCAGGTCACAGTGCCGTGCAGGATCAAGAGGAGCCTCACCCATAATGGCCCAATGGGGTCGAAAAGCTCCCTCCATATGCTCCTTAAGTTTTTCATCAGAAACGTTAGTGGCACCCATATCCAAAACCACACCTGACAGGAGGCCTCGTGCTGGGTGCTGGCCAGGGGAGTGAAGGTGTTTCTCTTAGAATCTCTGAGCTAAAACCATGTGGTCCCTGGCCCGCACCCACAAGCTGTCCCCAAATCAGTCTGCTGCCCTCTGACCTGTCTATAGGCTGGTGGGCCCTGGGGATATGAAAAGAACGGGACAGGCATGCAGGGCCACATCCACCGACGGGCAGGGCTCAGCCCCTCTCTTCCTCCAGTTACGACTGGAGATGTGGGCCCAGGCACATCTTGGGCCCAGGGGGTTCCCAAGTCCTCAGGGAAGAGAGCTACTTCAGAGTGGCAACAGTCACAGGTGAGCTCAGGGAGCCCAGCACAGATGCCCTCAGACTCAAGGAACCATCAGTGCCCGGCACTCAAAGCCAAGGCAGTCTGCTGTGGGTGGAACAACACACAAACCTTCACAGAGATCACACCAACACACCTGTGACATGGTAACTTTCTGTTATTGATTTCTTTGTACAAGAACCTTAGCACAAGCCAACTAAGTATGAACTCTTAAAAATATAATCACGCAATGAGTATTGTCGTAACTCAACCCCCACCAAGTCCCCAAACACTGTCCAGAATGTAGACCTAATACAAAGACCTGTATCTCAGAAAGTTGCTGAAATGTGGGAAATTTAAGGAGAAAAGAATTTAATGAGAAGACAAGCCTACAGTAGGTGGAAACTGAACTCAGCTCCAGTCCAGACAGAAATGAGAAGGAAACGTGCCAAATGCTACTATTAACTATATCCAGAATGTGGCTTACAGGCAACTTCCTTTTTTCAGTATTTCACAATTTCTCTACATTAGGAATGCACATCCTGCTAGAAAGCACAGAACAAAAGCCACGCTAGAAGTATATGCAGGACAAGACATTCAGTAGTTTCTCAGAGCTAAGAAAGAATAGAGAACTTGCGTGTAAGCATTAAGAATGAGCCCTCTAAAGGGGTACAGAGGTCAGAGGGCAGGGGACTGGGTCCTAACACCCCAGTCCTCCCACGTGCAGCCGGGAATGACCCCCAAGCACTGCCGGTGACGTGCAGAAACTAAGAACAACAACAATCACCTTCACACATAGATTCATCTGGCAAAGACTGCCTACCTACACACTCTGATTTTTTTTTTTTTTTGCTTTTTGGGTCACACCCGTCGATGCACAGAGGTTACTCCTGGTTCATGCACTCAGGAATTACTCCTGGCGGTGCTTAGGGGACAATATGGTACACTGGGAATCAAACCCAGGTCAGTTGCGTGGAAGGCAAATGCTCTACCAGCCGTGTTCTCTCTCCAGCCCCCACATTCTGATTACTTCAGAAGATAACAAATAAATCCATTTTAATTCTTTTAGTGAAGCAAGATAGTTTTTATTGAATAAAATATACTCGGAAAGTGTGAGGGGAGAGAAGAAGGGAGTACACATTCAAGAAAGAACATGGGCTTCTCCAGGCCAGGAAAAAAGCAAAAAAGCAAAGATATGTTTAAGCAGAACACCAGCTTGAGAGAGCAAGCCAATGAATTCATTGTTAAATAGAGAATATGTTAAAAAAAAATAAAACTCTAGGGGCTGGAGCGATAGCACAGTGAGTAGGGCGTTTGCCTTGCACGTGGCTGACCCAGGTTCAATCCCCGGTATCCCATATGGTCCCCTGAGCACCGCCAGGAGTAGATCCTGAGTGCAGAGCCAGGAGTAACCCCTGTGCATCGCCAGGTGTGACCCAAAAAGCAAAAAAAGAAAAAAAAAATAAAACTCTAAACAATCTTTGGGTCGGAGAGCTAGTATAGCAGACAGGGCGCTTTTGCCTTGTACATGGCCAACTGGGGTTTGATCCCTGGCACCATCCATCTATGGTCCTCCGAGCCCCACCTGGCATGATCCTTGAGCACAGAACCAGGAGAAAGCCCTGAGCACAGACAGGTGTGGCCCCCAAGAAAAGTAATGAATTGAAATGAAACCAAACAGAGGGGAACTAAATCCCAGGGAGCTGAGACTGCCATGAGCTGGCGGAGCAGGCAGGGAACCCACCTGGCAAAGAGGCTGGCGTGGATGTCGTCCAGAAGAGCACGCAGCCTTGTCTCTGCCTCCGCTTCAGCAACCGTCAGCTTCTCTCCCGTATCTCGCCGAACTGCCACGAACTGACAGCTCTTCATGTCTCGGGGCCCCACTTCCAGCCTAATGGGAACGCCCTGGAAAACAGCGAGGCCTCAGCGGGCTCCATGCACGTGTTCAGTGATCAGTGACCTGACCACGGCTCTCATGACTTCAAACCCAAAACAGGCAGAGGCAAAGTCAGAAACAAACAAGGGGAGGGGAAAAGTGCCTGGTCCTGGGATGACACAAACCCATCCCAGTACCCGAGAAGAGAGAAACTGCTCGGCTGGGCCTAAGGCAAGGGGAAAACACCAGGTGCTGTCTACAGTGTTTCTCTGTGGGCCTCTGGAATACTCTCAGGAAAACAGGTGAAAACTGTAAAGGGCGGGGGCGGGGGAGCCATGGTAGGAGACTAGTGGGCAGCCACAGGAAGGACACAGGTGGAAGGGCAAAGGTGAGGAATACGAAGCCCAATCAGCTCAGGGCTTCTGAAACTATTTTCTTCCCCCAAATTTTTATCTGCCCCGAAGTATATAAAATAGGCATGAAAGTCAAACATGTATGACAAAACATAATCTGATTTCAAATTATATTGTTCTCAATCTAAAAACAAATTTCAACTGAGGATGTGACCCAACTGAATGCGGAGGTGGCAAAATTTGGGCTATGTGTAACACTCAAAAATTCATGCAAAATCCACACGCCTTGAACTGAGGTGTTCCAGCCCCCTGAGAACTGCCAAGTTGGCCCTGTGGTCCCCAGCACAGTCAGGCCCAAGCAGCCCTGCATCCTTATAAATTGGCTGAGGGTCAATGGTCACGGTCCCAGGCCTGCTGAGCACCCCTGGGCGATATGCCCACCCCCTGAAAACCAGCAGGCTGGCATCAAACACCAAACTGAAAAGCAAGTAAGTCTTCCTGAAGAGCTCTCATGATGCCCAGCAATGACTTGCAGCCAGCAGCCCAGAATTTTGCTGTCTGGACACTTCAATATTCTCGTCTATCAGGTTTAGGGATCATGAAAAAAGGAGGGGAGGGCTTTAGCAATGGCCTATGTAGGCCGTTGGTGCCACAAGCACAGAGCATTCTTCTCACTGGGCCGTAGCACAACTGGCCTGTGCTTGTGCGAGGCTCCAACTCTGGTCCCCAATGGCACGGTCTTCCTGGCACAGTGCGCATTGCTGGGGACACCCTCAAAAGAAAAAATAAATGGCATGTTCAACTCACAGCAATCAAAACAGAGGAAAAAGGATTAGACTCGGTAAAGACTGCGTCTGGATCTGGCCTGGGGGCCAGACGCTGCCTTGATGGCCTCACCTTGAGCTCCCAGTGGTTGAACTTCCACCCTGGAGAGTAGTTATCTCTCAAATCAACTCGAACTCGAATGTTCGCACCCAGTAATCGCCGCCGATAGTCATTGCATTTTGCAATCAGAGCTTCTCTGTCTTCTTCAGAAAGTGCATTTGTGATGCCACAAGGAATAACCACCACCTGAAACCCAGCACAGAGTAACACTTTTGGATGAAGGCACAGCACACAGAAGCCTCTGCCAGGTCGCCTCCTGATGTCCAGGAGTCAGGCTGAGAGATACAAATCTACAGGCTGCTATTCCTTCGAAATGTACAATGTGACCTAGTACGAGTCATTCCCCAGGGAGCCTGATTCCTAAAAAAGGTTTTTACAAGACATAGCTAAAAATACTTAAGGGGGAAAAAAATCACAAATGAGACACACATGCAAATTTCCTTGGGTAAATAATGCCTGTGCTGTCAGGTAACAGACCCGTCTTACCTGGACGCAGGCCACCCGGGGCGGCAAGACTAAACCCATGTTGTCCCCATGAACCATGGTCATGACGCCTATCGTGCGTGTTGTCAGGCCCCAGGAGTTCTGGTAGGCAAACTGCTTTTCTCCTGGCATCTTTGGGTCTTCAAAAATGATTTCAAACATTTTGGAAAAGTTCTGTCCCAAATGATGGGACGTGGCCCCCTGAAACACAGAAAGAGTAGCTTGCATTTTAAAATAAATTATGATGTCCTTGGCAGTGATTACTAGATCAGATTTCAAAGTGGCACTGAATCTACTTCATTTTCCTTGGGATTGTAATATTCGATACACGTTCGAAGCAAAGCTGACAGAAGAGACACGGTTAGTCGGGAAAAAGACAGATGAGGAGTGCTCCGAAATGCCCTTCTGCAGGAGCAATGGAACCACACAGGTTATGGAGGAAACTCTCCTCTGCTCATAAATATATATATGTGTGTATATATATATATATATGTAAGATCCCAGCTGTGACACGACTAGCCCGGAAACGTTTAAGGAACAGAAAACAGGGAGAAGGCCTTAGCATGGCTCACCAAACAAATGGAACGTATACTTCAACCAAGGGCCGGAGCACACGGCTTGCACGCAGAGGCCCTAGGCCCAAGCCCCAGCACCACCTGGTCCTCTGAGAAACTCTGTGGTGGCCCTGCAGGTCCCCAGCACCACCAGGTCCAGCACAGCTGGGCCGACTGCCCTTGGACCCCGAGCCCTGTGGGGAGCCTGCCCTGACCTGGATGGCTCTGCCGCTCGCCGAAATGAAGGCCTCCACGGTGGTGGTGTAGTCCCCACCTGCAAACTTCTCCTTCTCCGTCTTCTTCCCTTTGACGACAGGAATAGCCAGGAGGTCTTCATACACCTGTGCGTACAGGTCGAGGATCTGCAAGACCTGAACGACAGACAGAATGCATTCACCTTTCTGGTAACTTCATCCATCACCACCGAAAACCAACTGTGATGGGAAAAACACGTGGAACAAGCAAACACTTTTAAAGGGCTGGAGTGATTAGTACAGCAAGTAGGGTTGCCTTGCACACAGCCAACCTGGGTTCAGTCTCTGGTATCCCATACGGTCCCCCGAGCACCGGCTGGAATGACTCCTGGATGCAGCACCAGGAGTAACCGAGTACTGCCAGCTGTGGCCCAAAATCCAAAACAAATGCCCCCACTCCCCCCACCCCCCGACACAGACCATAGACAGACTTTTGTAATAAAAAAGTTCAAGCAGTCAGTAAGGGGGCGAGCAGGAACAGCATTCCAACGGCAGAGCGAAAGGCTGAAAGGAACCTTAAAAGGTACAGAATTTTACCATGAAAGAGACAAATGCTTATGATAGGTATGGGTAGGGTGAAAATCTCCTGCAGAATCTGCCCATGTAACAGTAATCGTTTCATATATCAAAATAAAAAATATCTCTCTATGGAAATTTAAAATAGCACTTCTGAACCAGAGAAAGAGGCTCTGTGCAAGCTTTGCATGCATGCCGTGAGCTTCGGCACCACACGGTCCTCAAGCACTGAACGGGGAGTAGTCCCCCAAGCACCGCCATGTGTGGCCCCAAAACCCAAAACCACTGAATAAAATTTAATTCTTTTCTAAAATCCATATATTTGAGTAACTTTCCTAAGTGCATCAGAGGCACCATAAATTATAATACCATCAAATTATTTTTTTAAATGTTTTGACTTTTACCAGGTGAAACACATTTTGAAGTAACAAAACAACTTATCCCAGCAAACCAAATTTTGATGTTCTTTTGAGATCAGATCAAATCTGACCGTAGTGACTTCCTGAGCGCCCAAAAGCCATGCCAGGCTGATATACTTCATACCTCCTCCGCAGCTTCCTCAAATGTGGCAAACGCACTGTGACCCTCCTGCCACAGGAACTCGCGCGTGCGCAGGAAAGGCTGAGGGTGCTTGAACTCCCAGCGCTGTAAGAGACCACCAGCGAACATGTCACCCAAGGGTGGTCAGGTGCTCCGACGATCTCAGGGGGCGCAATGGGAAGGCCTGGCTGGGGTCTGTAATGCTTCAAAAGGGGCGGACACCATGTGCTCTCACCTGCCGATGGGAAGGCTATACAAGGTACCCAAGCCAGGCAAACCCATGCCCTAGATAACTGTAATACACAGGCCAGGAGAGAAAGGAGAGAAATGGATGTGTATGTGTATGGAGGTAACAGGGGCGAGAGGAAAGGCCATGGACACATTGGTGGGGTGGAAGTGAGGTGTAGATGTACATCTATACCAGAGTCGTTAGCCCTGAAGCCTGGGGCGCACATCAAAAATGTGTCTGTGAAGGAGGCAGGCTGGGCATTGGAGGAAGTGGACACTGGGGATGGGGCTAGGTTGGAATGTATGAGCCTGGAAATCTAGTATGGACACAACTGTAAACCACAGTGCCTAAATTAAAAAAAAAAATTCAAAGTGTCCATACTATCAATCCTTTCAATACAGAAATAAGTGAAGACCAGGGGCAGCGTCTGGCTCCACAGAAGAGTGTGTCCAGCCTGGGGGGACAGGCACCTACCACCACGTTGCACCACTGGTTGAGCCGGATGGGCAGGTCCCGGTGCGACTGCACCCACTTGGCATAGGCAGGATACATCACTGAAGGCGAGACAGACATGGCTGGATTAGCAGCAGGCCGCTGGCTTCTCTCAGACACTGGTCAGTCAGCACACAAACTGACTCCTAAGAACTTAAGCACGGGGGCCAGGCTCACGGGCTTCCCGGTGACGATGGGTGAGCGGCCAGCATTACTGGCTCACAGAGCAGATGACCGTACAGACGTCTGCTCACACTGTGCATATTTGATATCCTAGACACCGTTATTTCTGTTTAACAGTGAACTTGACTGCTCCTCACATGTTGTCTGAGGGGCTCACTCCTAGTGGCTGGGGTGGGAACACACTACATAAATAGGGCTCAGACCCAGGGTTCCAGCATCCAAAGAATATGGTCTTCCACTCAGCCATCCATTTCCCTGGCCCACGCAACTGCTTAAAAACACCAGCAAACAGAGTGCCCAAGACTTGGATTGAATCCCTGGGAATGCCAGAAGCAAGAACCAGGGGCTGAAAACTGTTTAGCAGCTAAAGCACTGACCCTGCACAAGACCAAGCCAGGTCTCATCCTGGCACCACATATGGTCCCCAGAACTCCACCAGGAATAACCTAAGCACAGAGCTAGGAGTAAGCCCTCATCACCACTAGGCCCCAAACAAAAAGCAAACAAATCAATGAAGCTCAAGTATAGACCACACTGTGTCCTAAGTTTCTATTATCGTGCAAAAATCTCCCACTCAACCCAGAAAGCGACGTAACTGTAATACTAAGCTATGGAAACTGAGCTCAGAGAAATTAACCAACTTGCTGAGCCCAGTATAGCTCCGCATTGAGGATGGGAAGAACTGAGGCACCTGCTGGGGGTGGAAGCTTGTCCCAGGGAAAGAGCCCGTGTTAGCTCAGCCTCCTCGGAGCACTGATGCTTAGCAAAGCAAGACAACTCTGGTGAATCTGGTTGTGGAAAAGAGCTGCCACAACCAGTGTATCACTGTATTCGCTATGCTTGCTACTAAGAGAATTAAATTAAGAAAAAGCAATCCTGACTCCCGAAGACAAATAATCACTTTACAAGGCATTAACAAGTTCAAAGGCTCAAAACATCCAAGTGGCATCCAGTCACTCCATCAAAGCGAGGACGAGGCCTGCCAAGGCAGAGGTAACAACAGCTTCCCCTACCTTCCTCACTGCACAGCCACGGAAAGCACAAGCCAACTCAAACACATCACTTCGGAACAGGTAAAAACCCTTCACGACTATAGTTGTGTTATTAAATCGACTGACAAAATCTGTGTGGGGTTACAACATCGAACATTAGTGCTTGCAATGTTATCAATCACAACACAGGGATCCCTGGGAAGATCTTACCACTGGCGATGTTAGAGAAAACCATAAATATAGTTTGCTTTTCTTTGGTGGGGGAGGGGGACAGCCACAGGGGGGAGAATGGGGTTTGAGCCACACTCGGCGGTGCTCATGGCTTACTCCTGGCCTTGCGCTCAGGGATCAGTCCTGGAGTTGCTCAGGGAGACGCAGAGGCAGGGATTCAATCAGCCTTACACCTGATAGAAACCTGTGTGATGAATCTTTCTGTTTGCTCCTGGGCCACTCGTGGTGAGGCTGAGCCTAGCCCGGCCTGTGCTCAGGAAGCACATGGCACGACTGGAACCCAGGACTCCTACATGCACAGCTTTCTGAACTCCACCCGGCCCGAAAACGAAATGCTGTTCAATCAAGACTGCCTTCGTGTTTGTTGACGTTTATGAAAATTATACAGACCACAAGGATTCTGAACAGATGAAAGTGGACCCAGTCCCAGAGCTCTGAGCTGTGCATGCGGCCTTACCTGTCTCACTCGTCGGGCGGACAGCAATTGGCTCTGCCAACTCTGTTTTGCCAGATCTCGTAACCCATGCAACCTAGAGAGAAAAATCCTCTATCAGGCATCTTTGAAGCACATTTCAAAAGGACAACACGTGAAGGCAACTTGTTCTATTCAACTTCTGATCTATCCATGTAGGCAAGTGCAAGAACCTGCTCTTCACTTCAGCCCAAAGTCATCTGGCTAATGTGACAAATACAACCACAATACGCCTGGAGGTGGGACACATTTTCAGTAGCTTCGCAGCCCTCAGGGCTAGAGAGACAGCACAGAGGGGAAGTGTCTTTCCTGCACGCAGCCGACCCGAGTTCAATCCCCAACACTCCATATAGTCCCTTGAGCCCAGCCAGGCACGATTCCTCAATGAGAGCCAGAAGTCAGCCCTGAGCACTGCTGGGTGTGGCCCCAAACACCACCACCACCACCAAAGTCCTCTACACTGGTTGCTGCTCTGACATGAACTTTAAACAGCCATGCCAGTGCCAGCCGAGCTCAGAGACGCACCTCTGGGGCAAAGTCAGCTACGTGTGTCTTCTCTGTCTCCAGCGCGCTCTGAGACACGAACATTGGGAAGTAGCAGTTCTCGACACCCAGCTTCTTTATCTCAGAGTCAAAAAAGTCCTTGATGGCTTCCCAAATGGAATAGGCCCAGGGCCGAAGGATGTAGCAGCCGCTGACATCATAGTACTCAATCATTTCTGCCTTTGTGATTACCTTTAGAAGAGAAAACAGGTCAGTGAGCCACTATAGTGGGCCCGGGGCTTGTCCTGCACGCGGCCACGCACATATGGTCCTCCCAGCCCTGCACAGAGATATCTCAGAGTGCTGTGTCAAGACATGAGTCCTGAGCACTTATATCTTTAGGTGTGGCCACAAAAGTAAAACCACAACAACAACATCCCCAGCTATGAGAGTTCAGAACGGATAAACAAACTTCAACTCCAAAGACTTCCACTGCTGTTCCTTTTTCCTGGGCAGGAAAAAGGACTTTTCTAGACTGAGATGCACCTGGCCACACTTGCTTCCGCTTCTTCCGACCTCAAGACTTTGGGACAAATCCCTCTCCGTATGGTGAAGAAAATCGCACTGGGGGCCTGGTCAGAGCCCAAGGGGCATGCGGGAGGTTCCATCCCCAGAGTCCTGGAAGCAAACTCCCACCCGAGTAAAGGTGAACGTAGCCCCCAAACAAAACACTCCTCAAATGACTTCCTCTGATTCATATGACCATCACCCGGCTACTTCCTCTTGATCCTGGACTTTACAGAAACTTGCTCGGAAGGTGACAAAGGGGCGAGGGCGCCTCGACCACCTGTCAAGCCGTGACCCCGCTCTGCGGTCTGTGAGAACAAACCAGTCGCTGAGGAATCCCAAAGCTGAAAAGAACCCAATGCATGCTCACCTGAGAATACCAATCTGCAAGATTCTCTTCTTTCTTCGCCTCCAGCCCCAGCCTGCAGACATGAAAGACAGACATGAAACCCTTGGTGCCCCTGCCGCAGGGACATGAACTGTCAGAGCCTGCCAGGCCGCGCGTCCCCTCACCTGGTCTGCTTTTTAGGCCCCTGGCCCTCTCCGGCCCCACCGGATGGGAGGCCACTCCCCGGGCTCTTAGAGGGCTCCTTCTTCAGGCCATCGTTCTGCTTCTGAGGCTTATTCTGCTTCTCCGACTTATTTTCTTTCTCTTTCTTCTTCTTGTCCTTGTCCTCAGCCCCCGTAGCTGAGACCGGCTTGTACTCCACTCCCGTCAGGGCCTTGTACTGCGCCTTCAGTTGCAGGAGCTCCTGCACGGCCCCGTCGACCTGGTCCTGGGGCAGGGGACTAGAGTGGGCTCAGCTGCCACCACTGCCCGCCAACCCCACAGCCACGGCTTGCCCAGCACATCTGAGGGCACAGCAACAGGCTGAGGGCACAAATGCAGGGGCGGGAATACTGACTAATAAAAGGTGACTGGCAGGGGCAAGATCGTGAAAAGAGCAAGTACAGAACTGCTCAGCCCAGAACTGGACTGAAAAATAGCAGTCACTCGGCACATGGGGCTACCGAAACTAAACTAATAACAAAAACAGTCCCTTGGGGTGGGAGTGTATGCCTGGCCCGAGCCAGACCCGGAGTACCAGCAACCCAAGTAGCACCTCATTGCTGGGCCCGAGCACACAACAGCCCCACTCCCCTGAGCACTGTTTGGGAGTCCCCTATACCTCCAGACCCCCAATTCAGTGCTGGGTTTCTATACTGTGCCTCTAGTACTGGAAAGAATTAGACAAGGTCATTTCCACCAGGACAGAAAGTTTCACTGGGAGCACTAGTGGAAGATATGAGAAACCAAAGCTTCTAGAAACTGCAACCATCTCACAACTGTAATGACAGGAATCAACTCTCTGTGACTGGTGAAACTTCTAAGTCTCCAGTCATAAAAATCTGCGCCCAAGAAGTCCTACTCCTGGGATGGGACAGTTGCTGGGGAAGGACAGGAGCACAAGCGTCGCAGGAGAAGCTCAGTTCCATCTCCAACAGCACATGGCTCCCAAGCACCGCCAGGTATGTCCATCCACCCCAACATGCAGAAACCAAAAACCCCTACTGCTCCAGATGGCACAACTAGAACACAATACTCAAATTAAAACTTCCCGTTCAGAATGCGGGCGAGACAGCTCAATGGGCAGAGTACAGGCTTTGCACAGAGGCCTGAGTCGCCCGAGTCACTCGCATCCTGAGCACAGAGCCAGGTGTAGTCCAAAATCAACAACAACAAAATAACAAAAACCAGAAAAGAACAAAACAGGTGCTGGCAGGTCCCAGCTCACTGCAGAACTGCGCAAGCCAGAGACACGAAGAAAGAAAGCAGAGGTCACTGTGAGCACAAGCGCAGCCCAGTGCTCTCCACACCTTCTTGCTGGGAAGACAGGATCAGAGGCAAAGCCAAACCCGGGCCCATCTCTGGTGCCTCAAACTCTCGGGCATCTCTGGGGTGGCCTGGGCGATCCCCAGCAGTGCGGGGCAGACACAGTAACTGGTCAGCCCAACTGGAAGGGGACAAAGATAGCCTCCTTCCCCCAGGGACATGGCACTGACCTTAGAGGCCTTCTCCGCCTTAAGCTTTCTGACCACGTCCCCCTGAGAAGCCACTTTGTTGAAAAGCGCTTTGGCTTCCGGAGTTTCTGGAGCACTGGGCTGAGAGGTGTGGGCCGGGCCTGGGCCTGAGCTCGGCGGCGAGGGCTGTGCAGGAGGAACATACTCCTTCCCAGTTTTCTCCTTATACTGCGCTTTCAGGGACAGCAAGCACTCCACTGCCTCACTGATCTTAGCCTGAGTGCAAAGAGGAAAAACAAGATAAATACTTAATACTTGTCAAATTTTTCTATGTCATCAAGAAGCCATGACTACTGCGGAAATAAGTCAATAAGTCTATCACAAAGAATCCAACTATGCAAGAGCTGGAATCACTGGTCTGAAATAATGGATCAAATATTTCTCTGTGCTCAGAGGGCTCCTGTCTTGCATGTAGCCAGCCCTGGGTTGGTACCCAGCACTGCATGGTCCCCTGAGCACTGCCAGTGGTGGCACCAAAATCAACATTAATCTCTCTCCTTCCCTCCCCCCCCCGTCCCTGAGCTCTGAGAGAAGTGATCCCTGAGCACAGAGCCAGGAATAGGTTTACTACAACCAATCTGGCTCAATATCTTCACCAAGAGATTCCAAACATAAGGCCAGAATTCATGCTCCAAAGCTGGTATCATTTGCACATTCACGAAAAAGAGCCTGGCCTCCTCTGGCTGCCATTCAGGCCTGCCAGTGCTGGTGTTACTCTCGCCAGGACCCCGGGACAATGTCCCAGAACAGCATCATCCAGTCACCCTTCAAGAAACGCAGTCTTTGCTGCCTCTGTCCTGGAGCAGAAGCTGAGACGGGGCCCACCAAGCTCCCCATTAATTCTGACATCCAATAAAGCCCATTATCTAACCTGAAGCGCTCAAGGACTGGGGAATGCAATTCAGAGGCAGCCCCCCCCCCCTACCCCCGGCCTGTGGGAGGACTGGGTCCTTAGCACTGTCACCACCACCACCAGAAAGAGAAAACCAGTTACTCTGAAGTGTGCTCACTTGTGAAGGACTTCTAGATTCTTCCCCGTCCCGAGACTTCGCTCACTCCTCCCTATAGCTAACATAGGATCAAGTGCTCTGTCCACATCACGCCCCTGCCCCTCCCCCCATCCCCCTGCAAAGGCCCTGATGGTGAGCTGCTTCCTGTTCAGATCTCTGGAACTCAGCCCAAAGATGGGGGTCACAGCCTGCTTTTGGCACCGTCGACATAAAACATGCATGATGACTCAGAAGCCTGAACTTGCAACTCCTGACAGTGGACTCGAGTTAGTCTGGAGCACTGACCTTGGGGGCTTTCTCAGCCTTCAGCTTCCGAACAGCCTCCCCTTGGGCCGCGACCGCCTCATACAGAGCCTGAGCAGACAGAGCGCTGGGCGCGGCCTGGGCAGTGGCCTTCAGAGGCGCGGCGGCGGGAGGGCAGCCCGGCTTGTACTCCTGGCCCGTTTTCTCCTTATACTCTGCTTTCAAAGCCAGAAGCTGCCTGACAGCTGTGTCGACCTCTTCCTTGGTGGCTTTCCTGGCCTTTAACTCGCGCACGGCATCCCCCTGAGCGGCCACTCGGTTGTACAGAACCACGGGGTCCTCCACTGCAGCACGGGGAGCACTCACGGCAGCAGCTGTCTACAGCAGCAGAAACCAGAAGGAAACAGTTACACGACTCCCTCAAGCAGAATCAAACCATTTCACATTTTAAGATCAAAGCACACACTTAAACTTTACATGGGGTTGGAGAGGTAGTGCAATGAGGGGAAGGTGCTTGCCTTGTTCGTGGCCAGCGTGATTTCAACCCCCACCATCCTATGTAGTCCCCCAGCCAGGGAGTAACCGAGTGCAGAGCCAGGAGGAAGCCCTGAGCCCTGCTAGGTTTGGCCCCCAAACGATAAAAAGTCTTATTTTACAAGGTGTCTTGAAACCTTATATGAAAGAATAAAACCCCCAGAAGTGAGTTAATGAGTCCTCTTAGGTATAGAAAGAAAGCCAGTGGTCATCTGCAGAGCAGATTCTCATTGCTCGGCTGCAAAGCACACTGATAGAGTACATCCCTACCTCAGTTTTCGAGGCTTCCACTTTGGTCTTTTCCTTTGACCCAGCTGTTGGCATCTCCTTCGTATGTCCGTCCGGAATATATATCAAGACACACGGGGCTTCTTTGCAGCTATATGGACTGAAGAAGAGAAGGGCCAAGCAAAGTTCACATGGAAGAACGCAGAAAGCAACTCAAAGTGAATCCTCGATGAACTTATTGGCACGCTCACACCTCTCCCGGGAGAGAAAGTCCGTTTCCTCCCACCAGTTGGTGATTAAATAGTTTTGCCCAAGGCCCTGGATAAGCTCAAGGGTATATCTAAAGTTTGATCCCAGAACCACACTACAACAAAATACCCCAATGATTATCATTATTTTGCCTGTTGACAAAATAAGTAAGTTTCCTGAACAACATTAAGCTAAAAGATGGACTAGTTCTTAAAAAACATAACTTGTTAAGGTCATACTTATTCTGAGTTCTCATTATTATAGTAAAGCCTGAAATACTGAATACAGAAGAAATCACAACTGAACCGAGATTCAGCAGAAGCTGCATTTTTGAAATATTTGCTGTAGTATTTTGCTGTTCCCCTTGGACAATCGATTTCCTGACCTGACGGGCTCATAAGGCTGGTCGCAGATGAAGAAGCCCCGTCTCTGCAGCTGTATGATGTCTCCCTTTCGGAGATCTTTAAGGCAGGGGTCGCCCAACATCAGCTCTTCATGCTGCAAAGAGTGAAACAGATTCAATATCAAAACATCAAAAGCAACCTGAAAATACAGTATCTCCATCCCCACTTCTGGAATGTTCTTTTACTTAGCATCCCCATGTTAAAGATGTGAAAAATTTTACCACTTTAGCACAAAGAGCAAAGGGTGAAAAAAATCAAATTAAAGGTTAGCAGTCATGGTGGCAAATTTTAAAGTTAACAGCATAAACTGAGTGGCTCCAGGAAAATTTTCAGAGAACTGACGCCTGTTGTCAGTCACAATGTGGGGAACACAGGCACAAGGTGAGCAGCCAACAGCATGTGGCCCCGGCGCCTGAGCTCAGGCTCTGCCTCAAGCCCAGCTTCATCAGCTATTGCCTGGCTTTGCACACGTCCTTTTTTCCCCTTTTGCGTTTTTTGGGGGCCACAACCAGATGTGCGAGGCAAGCTATCTCTCTGCCCCCATCACCCATGTTCCCGAGCCTCACTGGGCCTCACTTTTCGACACTGATAAAACTCGGACATTAATCTTTGTATCTCAGTCCACGCATCATTTTATCTTGAGGAGAAGAATCCCTGGAGTGCCTCTCCCAATTCAAAAGCAACTTCCCTAAACCGTGTACCAGGGAAAGATGACACACAGGTCTGAGGAAGGCTACCTTCGTGTTCCTGTTAATATACTGTTTGAAGTCCTCGTCCTTCCCGAGCACAGGCTTTGTGATCAGGTGCTCGTAAGTGACGCAGACAGCTGGCACAGGGGGTGCACGAGTGCTCTCTGCGAGCCAAGTGATCTTTGTTGTTTTCTTGTAGTCTTTGTTCTCCAAATTCAATTTCGCATCAAGAGATACAATTTTCCCATCTGCACTCCTAGATATAAGAGTAAGAAGTTAAAATATGAACAAATGAAGTCCAGATGCCATAAATGCTGTACTGGGTCTGTACTGTGACTGCTCAGCCCTCGCCAGTCTTGAAAGCCCTCCCCGAAGCAACTGCAGATCAGCAGCAGATGATCAAAGGCCCTCCGAAGCCTTCCAGAAATTTTTCTATCGAGATGCAGTGACTATCAACCTCACAAGTGAAAAGGCTGACACCCCACGGGTAACACAGAATAGTCACAAAACAGCACCTTTGGGGGCCGGGATAGGACAGTGGGGAGGGCACTTGCCCTGCAGTGGACAACCCAGGTTCCACGCCCAGCATTATTGGTGCCCTGAGCCCTGCTAGGTGAGGCCCCAAAGACAAAAACAAAAACAAGCACATATAATACAGGTCTCAGACCTCCGGCTGGACAGACCTCTTTGGCAACAGAACTGGGCTGCACTGAGCACTTTACTGTAGGAGGTGAAGGAAGGCTGAAACGTCTCTTCTCTGTGTTTATGAGCCAACGGTTCTTACTTGTGCACTTTAGTGATGTTGATGTTGCCCCAGTTTATGAAAGTCACCATCTCTCCCTCTGACAGCGTATCCGCATCAGCTCCTTCGATGAAGACTCGAGGGCTATACCACACAGGCTTCAAGCCAACGTCAGGATTCTGGTGGATGAAAACAGGAGCGTGTTGGCTAAAGCAACACACTGGGCCCAGAGGAAAATGGCTGCGCTCAGTCATCCATCCAAGACCAAATGGAAGCTGCATGTGTACTATTTGGGTCCCTGCCCTGTGTTATTGGATCTGCCACCTGATCTATAGCGTGACGGGTGACCTGCAGTCATTGTTGTTTCTGAGCTGAACCACTTTCTGGGGGTCTCTCCAGCCAGGTCCTGCTTTGCAATCCAACTCTGCTCTTGCCGTGGAGCAAAGACCCCACAGCCCAGGGTACAGACCTGCCACCTTCACAGCGATTTTTATAACTCAGATAGGTGGGACCTGAGGCATATGAGCTATAGGATTTATATTTTTCAAAAGAAAAAACAGGCTTCTGGGAATGGAGAGACAGTACAGCAGGTATGGCAGTCAACCTGGGTTCCAACCTCTCCATCCTATAGAGTCCCGAGCCTGCCAGGAATGAGTCCAGAAGGCAGAGCCAGGAGTAAGGCCCGAATACAGCTTGAGTGGGGCCAGGAGTAAGGTCTGAGCACCGCTGAATGGGGCCTAAAACATGCAAAAAAGTAGTCAATGCCGTGATCCGTTAACAGAAAAGTGATCACAGATTTCTATAACTCAGGCCACTCATCTAATCTCACCACTGAACAATGCAGTTCTTCATTCTGCATTTCATGCAGGAGCAGAACAGAGCTGAGTCCATCAGCCTATGAGTGTACAATTCAGCCTACAGAGTCAGAGATGTAGCTATGGGCCTAGCTTATGCTCGGCAGGCAGGTTTGAGCTCGGCCCCAATGTCAAAGGGTCCTGAGAGCCCTGCTGTGACTGACCCCCAAAAACAACATTGGGAGTAGCCCCAAACACAACCATGTGTGACAACTCCACCCCGCATAACTATACATACACACAGATTCCTCTTGCCCCATAATATACACAGTCTGTCATTGCACAGAACAAAGAATCAGCACGGAGTTGTTGATGATATGCTATGGAAAACAATCAAGTGGGATTTAGGGTTGTCTCAAGTGGCAGAGCCTGGCCCACGTTTGACCCTGGTGCTGCATGACCCCTAAGCACTTCCAGGTAGGGCCCTGACCTGAGCGACCTCAGAGTGTCCCCACCACCACCACCTGTCTCATCCATAAGGAAGTTCTGCAGCAAGAAAACCACAGTATTCCTTCCCACAGTGCTAATGCTGGGAAATGCTAGATGGAAAAGCGGCCTCAAAACCATGTTCCCGGGAGCTGGAGTGATAGCATAGAGGGTAGGGCATTTCCTTTGCACATGGCTGACCCGGGGTTGGATTCCCAGCATCCCATGTGGTTCCCTGAGCACGGCCAAGAGTAATTCCTGAGTGCATGAGCTAGGAGTAACCCCTGTGCAATGCTGGGTGGGACCCAAAAAGCAAAAACAAACAAACAAAAACAAAAGAAAACAAAACATGCCCCCAAGCAGAGCTGGGGGTCGTCACAGGAGCCCTGTTCCTGCTCCTGCTCCTGCTGTAACAGACATGATATGGGGGACCCCAGGAACCTTTGGGTGCTTGGCCACTTCCTTCATCTCTTCCCGCGCCTCAGGGATGTTCACCGGGACCACTTCCCTCTTCAATAAGGCCACAAAGCGGGGGGCCACTGGGTCGATGACCTGCAACACACACATTCTCATGGTCAGATGGTCGAGTTTCAAACACTTTCTCCAGAAGCCAACAGCCCAGGAATACTAACTGGCTTGCTTTGTTACTGCATTTACTAATTTTTTGGTTTTGGTTCACCTGTTGTATCTCTTCCCTAGCATTTCATTGGCAAGCGGAAAACAGAAAAAGAATCATGAATGAAGACTATGGATTTAGTCTCTTTGAAGGTGATTCAGCATGTTTCTGTCGGCGGTGCAGCACCATGGCAACGAAAATAGCATTAGGCCACTATAATAAGGCAACCCTGCAGATTCACAGTGACAGGAAGCGCCCTGGACTGCATGTGACCCATGAGGGGACCAAGGCACCCAGGCCCAAGGGGCATGAACGGCCCACCCAGCATATGCTCATCTCTTCTGCCTTCAGAGTGCCTGTTGGGTCTATGTTTCATTCCTTGATTCAATTTAAAATGCTCCAAGAGGGACAGTCCCTACAGTAGTGTGGGGATGCTAAAGAAAGCCAAGGGAAGGAAAATGTGGACAGACACAATAGGCAAGTCAAGAAGCTGACCCAGCCGGTCTGGCTGGCGTTTGGGTTTTTGGTTGTTGCCACTGCTGGGTGGGCAGGTTCATTTCCTTGGGGAGAAATTTTAGGGTTAGGGTTAGTGGTGATTCTGATGAACCCAGAGACACCATCTCAGAGGCTGATTCAGAGCCCGAGACAGACGTGGATGCCCCAGCCTGTGCCCGCCGGGCTTCATCTGCTTCTGCTTCCAGCTGGCCTGAAACTGGCACCAGCCTCTCTCCAAACTTCCCACTTCACTCTCCCTTCCTGAGGCCACTCTGGTCTTTTACTAGTTGCAGGCTCTCTCGCTTCTACTGCACTCGAGTGATGATTGATGGAACTGTGACAAGCAGGTCAGTCCTTCAGTCTGCGATTCCCTTACTGGAGCTGGAAGGAGAAACTTCTCCTCAGTGCAGCTTTGTTTCCACACCCGATGGGAACAGAAAACTATCTCTTCCCTGGCCAATTATAAGGAGCACTTTAGAGCACAGGCCCCCAACCAAACTTTACTGGCCTAATGCCCCCTTTTCAGGAGGGAAAAAACCTGAAGTGAGTGAAAATCTACCACTTTAAGCAAACAAACAGAAGCACCCCCAACTGGACCTGAAGCTGCAGCCCCCCCCCCCGCGACTTTGGGAAATGATGATAGGCCATCGTAGATACTTGTGCCAGTCGGCCCTAAGGACGATTCTCACGGTCCTATGTCATCTGGAAACATCCTGAAAACAGCATCCTAGGGGCCAAAGAGATAGGAGAGCAGGCAGGGCATTTGCCATGCACAGAGGCAACCCTGGTTCTATCCCCGGCACGCCATAGGGTTCCCTGAACAGTCAGGAGTTAATTCCTGAGTGCAGAGCCAGGAGTAAGACCTGAGTAGCAGTGGGTGTGCCCCCAAAGAAATAGCACCCTACAAGGCAGTTAGGATCGAAGGAGCTTGGGAACTCTTGAGACAAGTTTACTAAGTTTTCCTCATTCCCCAAACTGCACAGTTCTAGAAAAAAAAAATCACTAGAGTTATGGTGCTTTCCCAACTATTCTTAAGAGTCCTAAGGACTCCCCAAAGTGCCTCCTTCAGGCAAGAAGGGAAGGGGAGGGCAGGTTTCTATCGAGGTGTTGTTCTATTGAGGTATCATGTACTAGTTTCTATCAAGGTGAAAAGGAGAAAACAAAGATCACAGGATATTCAGAGGGCTAGCAAGATGATTTTTATCTGCTTTGGGGCAGCGTCCAGGGGTGCTCAGCTTTGCCCTTAACGCTCACTTCACAGTGCCACCTCCCCACAGCTCACTGACACTCCACTTGGATTTCATCTGCAGGTTGGAGAGACTATTTCATGGGCTGAGCATATCCTCTGCACGCTGGAGGCCTAGGTTCAAACACCAGCGGGCCCCGAGTACCATCCAGTAGAAAGACAGAGCAAGTGACAAAATCATGCAATAGTAAGTCCCCTACCCCCCCAACTCTGTCCTTACAGGCCCCAAGAAAGAGAAAGTAAAGGAGTTATGGAAAGATGGCACAAAGACCAGCAACAGAAACAGAGAGGGATGCAATGCTGCAGAGTTGGTTACATTAGGAACCGCCACTTCCAACCGCTCTGCTCTCAGGACTGTGCCTGATGGTGAGTGAGCCTCGGCAGCCTAGACCAAAAGAACTGAAAACAGATCGGCTTCAATCCCGCACACAAGCCACTCAGCATGCAGGAAGGATTCTGTGCCTTCCTGCTGGGTAATATCTCAGGCTGTAACATGTATTATGCTCAAAGCTATGTGCTTAGGAAGGCAAGGAGAAGCATGGCTTAGAAGGACAGATCGGGAGGACTGCCCCATGAGCTGAGACAACAGCCACACAACTCTGGGAGCTGGAAAACCCTCGCTTCTGAGCAGCAGCTGCCTCCTCTCTACGTCCGTGGCACACTGAAGAGTCTACCTGGTCAGAAACACTTTTGGGGCCAGAGCAACATTGGGAAAGGGGCTGGCCTGCCCTGATACCTGGGTTCATCCCACAGCACACGATGGCCCCTGACCCACCAGGAGTGATGCTAGAACACAGAGCACGGAGTGGGGCAGAGGGGAGGATGGGGAGCAGGGAGGTGCAGAGGGGAGGGTGGGGAGCTGGGAGGGGCAGAGTGGAGGGTGGGGAGCAAGGAGGGGAGGGGGCAGAGGGGAGAGGAGCAGAGCATGGAGGAAAGGGCTGGCAGACACATCTTCGGAACATTGAGAGGAAATCCACGGTGTGCAGTGGGAGGCAGAATTAGAAAGGTAAACAAGCGGAGGAGAGAAGATCAAGACAAAACCACTCTATAAGGCACCAACACATGAGGGGGAAACAATGACCCAAAGTCTCATTGGCCATCACAGGAGGACAACTAATACTACCTAAAAGCAAGTATCTGAGCTGTTCAGATCTTATGCAAAGCTTCAGGGAATCCCATAATTAAAGGGCTATCCCAGGGAGGCCACAGGAGGGAAGATGAGGCTTTGTAAGAGGAAACAAGGGAGAAAGTGCTGTTCATCCCAACAAAACTCTGCTCATGAAACCCACCTCACTATTCTGAACCAAATGCTGTGTAGCTTTTTACTGCATAGCTTTTCTGGGACTTGGAAACTCTGAAATGTTTATCACTGAAACATGAACCAGTCTTAACTTTGCCTGTGAATATGGCTTTGTTGATTATTAGTAACTGCAGCAACAGCAAGAACCAATTATTAATTCCTTGATGCAGGGACAAGCGAAAGAGACAGAACAGACTCGATCAAATAAATTCACAACACATGCGAGACAAGCAACTATTTCTCAGGCAAGGCACTGGCACAGTCAGCAGCAACACCAGGACTCAACAGCGCACAATCACAAAACCGAATCTGAAACCAGGCACACAACGGTTTGCCTTATTATAGTGTCTAAGCATCTGCTTCCAATTTGTGATTAGTAATATGAAGGAGTACATCAGAATAAAACGTGTAACTTGAAAACTGTCCTCTCAGTACACAAGGGAGCAGGGTTTGCCAAATCTTCCCTTTGCCTCTAAGAAATCAGAGGACACAATTTAAAAAAATAAAATCACACACACACAACATAGAAATAATGCATTTTCAGTGGATTTGGATAGGCTAGTCAGACAAATGTGATTGTGCTTCAAAGCTGGGTAATATCTCAGGCTGTAACATGTATTATGCTCAAAGCTATGTGCTTAGGAAGGCAAGGAGAAGCATCACAAAATACCTTCTTACAGAGCGCTCGCAGCTTGAAAGCAGAAAAATGAAATGCAGAGAGTTCAAAAAAGATGGACGGAAACACTATGCCCCCCCACCCCCCACCATGATTCCAAGTGTGTCTGCTTTAGTCACTGCCACTAGTTTGGAATATTAATAGGCATAATGTCCTGCCTCTATTCAAAAAGGAAAACATTCCATTTTCCTGAAAGACTGCAAAATGACAATACCCTTCACAAAATGTTTGCTACTGTGAGAAAAATGAAATGAATTCTAAATGGATCATTCCGGAGACAGGCATGAAAAAGAGGACCCACATCCAAAGCATGTACCTTTTTGTTAAATGCCCAAATTTTGTCCCATTCCATGTTCACAACCGACCGTGAGGAGCCCTAGAAAAACAAGCATGAAATCACGTCAACCGCACATGAAATCACAAAGAGGGGAAGCAATTAGAACGCTGCCCTTTAGCTAAGCAAGTCAGCAAAATAAATAAACAAACAAACCCAATAAATCTAAGTATACTAAAGCACCATTTTTAACATACATTATACAGCCATAACTTTTATGTGAAAATAATGCAGCTACCCTGGACAGCGGGGAGCAGAGACAGGCTCTGCTGGTGCTGTGCTGCTTCTGTTCATTCCTAGGCTGGTTTAGGGCATGCTCCATATACCCTTAAAAACTGCCCTTGTAGTTTAAGGAACAAACACAGAATAAGAAAAATGGCAACAGGAAGATGAAAGAAGGGGGAAGGAGGCTGGAAAGATGGTGCAGCGGGAAAGGCATTTGCCCGCTACATGGCCAACCCAGGTCCAAGCCCCCACATCCCATATGGTCCCCCAAACACCACCAGGGGTGATTCTGAGTGCAGAGCCGGGAGTAACCCCTGAGCAATGTCAGGCATCCCCCACCCCCTGAAAAAAGAAAGTAAAAACGAATGAGATACAAGGAGTTGCCAGAAAACCCTGAACGGGGAGAGTGAGGGCAGCAGAGCTCACCTGGGCGGCGATGAACTGCTTCAGCCCCTCCACCGTCATTCCTCTCCGCAGGACACCGCGCACCGTGGGAAACCGAGGGTCATCCCTGGAGAGAGGGAGAGTCTCGTGGGAGTTGGATAGACCAGACATTTTTTTAAAGGACAGATGCAGAGGGCACAAAACACCTTAAGGAAGAATAAGTGGGACAGCTGCAAAATGACTGGCGTGACGGCTGGCACAGCAGACAGGCAGAGCACAAGACCAGCAGGCCCGTGGCCGGGAAGGAACACTGCCAGCAGCCTGGATGCTGTACCGCTGGGCACGGGAAAGGCATGGCTGCAGAAGCAGATGCTGAAGGAGCATCTTCAAGGCATGCAGAATCCAAAATAGGAAAATGGCATTTTTTTCATTTTTACTTTGTGAGCTGCCAGGGTCTCACACGTGCAAGAAAAGTCCCCAACAGTGAGCTGCACCCACAAAAAGCAGGTCTGAGCTATCAACCCTACTGAATAGGTCTGCAACACCCTATCCAAGGGGCCCCAAGGCAAACTGGCCTTGTATCCAGTTTCGATCCACAGTAAAATAGTACAACGTATATACTGTTCACTTAATCATCTCAGGGGCTGAGCTATGTTCAGAGATTACTCCTGGCTCTCTGCTCAAGGATCACTCCTACTGGGGCTCAGGGAACTATACGAGGAATCAAATCCAGGTTGGCTGAGTACCATTTTATATATTATATGACATCTACGCTTTGTACTTTTGTTTGTATTATTTAATAAATTTTGATTTTAAAAATCCTATAAAATAGTTATATTACAATCTTATATTTACAAAATCTCTTAAAATTTTTAAAATATCTAATATTTAAATGTTAACCATACATGCAATAAATATAAGTCCTAAAAATACATAGCACTGTAGCACTGTTCTCCTGTTGCTCATTGATTTGCTGGAGCGGGTCCAGTAACGTCTCCATTGTGAGACTTGTTACTGTGTTTGGCATACTGAATACATCACGGGTAGCTTGCCAGGCTTAAAAAATACAGAATGCATTCATAAACATCAGAAATTTATTATAAAACTTATAGTATGAGCTTATTTTCCATTATAATTATCAATTTATCAATTCCAATAATTTCTGTGCTTTACAAACATGGAAAGCCACCTAAACAGGCTTGGTTTGCACAGACACCCGCACACTGGATTTTTCTGCTCTTTCTCACAGAAACCCCAGCGGCTACTCGGGCGCTGCTGACACTTTACAGCCTTTCCCTGGTGCCGCTCTGCAGCCCGGGGTCCTCCCCACAGACGCTGCGGCCAGTGATTTATGCCTTCACGCCATGCACGCGAGTTTCCAGGGCCTTTGTGGCAGTCACATCTATGGGGACCTAGACCCGCCCTCCCAAAATGCTGTGTCTGCCAGAGCCACAGCAGATGCTCCCAGTTTCAGCACCCAGACAGAGCTGGGGAATTGGAACAGAGGCAAGGGCAGAACCCCAGTGGCCTTCTCCACCCCACCTCCTCCACCCCTCAAAGCAGTGAAAAATCGCGACAAGTGTGTAGGCGTACCAGCCATCCACGAGCCCCTCGTCGACAAACCACGTGAGCTTTCTTTTGGAGAGCACAGTGTTGTTGAGATTGAGCCGGCTGTATTCCCAGATGTACGGTTTCCTGATCCCCAAGGCTTCAATGATCCAGTAAAACTGCTCATCCCGATCATGGTACTCGGTTGTTCGCAGGGCATGTGTCACACCCTCGATGCTGTCAACTATGGGACAGGCAAAATCGTACGTCGGGTAAACACTAGGGGAAAAAAGTTATTTTGAAAAATCAACATGAAGCAGTTTATCCTTTCCTGTCTTAGAGTAATCTTTAGAAGAGCAAAACCATTTAAATTCTTTCCAAGTTGGGATTTTCTTTAAAATCAACAAGTACTGGGTCAGAGTAATAATACAGCAGGTAGGGCACTGGCCTTGCACATGGCTGACCCAGTTTCCATCCCCAACCCCAAGCACAACCAGGAGTGATTCTTGAGTAAGGAGCTAGGAGAGTAAGCCTTGAGCATAGCCAGCTGTGACCAAAAATACCAAGTACCATGGTTAACAATAATCTAAGCATATAGCATTTAGTACACTATCCACTTGGTAGTTAAATTAAAATGCTGGAACTTCAGAGACTACTACAGAAAGCAAACTCTACACTCTTATTTCAGTAATGGCCACATATATCATGGTAGGGAAGTAAGGAGTAACATACACCCTAACTTGCAGATATTTAGTTTTATACAGTATCAGCCACACTCAGGTAAACTCCTAAGTGTAATATGATCAGAAGCTGTCGGTAAAGGCCACACATCGTCACAATGTTCTGCCATCAATGAATGCCGAAAATGTGGATTCAAATGCTCTTCTCCAAGTGCATTCAAGGTACGTGTTTACTGATAAAGCAGCAACTCCCTGTTAGAACGAAGGGCTCATTGACCCAGAGTCCAGGTGTTCTGGACTATGACATATATTCATCTGACCACAAAAGCCCAACATGAGCCAGACAGGGCTAATCAGCAACATTTACCAACTTCTTCAGTGATTCTATCTAGTAGGCCTCTTCATAATACAAGAAATATCTTTCACCATCAAAGAAATCCATTCTACAATTATCTACAAACCGGAGAAGGGATAACCTCTGAAGAAGAAAAATATGCTAACCTGAAAACCTGCACAGAAAATTAAGTGAGGGCTGGTGTGATAGGACAGCGGGCAGGGCTCGTGCAGTGCATGCGGCCAGGCCAGGCTGGACCACTGGAATCCCATATGTTCACCTGAGGCCCACCAAGAGTAGCTACTGAACACAGAGCCAGTAACCCCAGAGCATGCCAGATGTGGCCCCAAAACAAAACAAGTGAAAGTATCAAGAACATGCTCATTTCTTATTATGTCCACATTTCTATAATTTTTTTTATCGTTTTCATAAATTTACTTATACATTGCAGAATCAAAGTTCACAGCAAGAAGCATCTTAATCTAAAACTAAAGTAAGCTAATGCCTGAATCTAAGCCATTCATTAAGAACAATTCTGGGCAGGTGTAAGGACTTGAACTGTGCAGTGAGCTTCACAGAAATGAGTCTGATCATTACACACCCCCAAGAAACCATCTCTGAGAAAATAAGACTTCAGGGGTCTGGAGAAGTGACTGGACCCCCAACACTGCCAGATGTCACACCTGAACACAAAGCCAGGAATAGTCCGACCACCACCAGGTGTAGCCCAAATCTCTGTAAGAAAAATAACACATGCCTCCGGAAGGTCAGTCAGACTCTGGACGAATGAATGAACCCCAACCTCAGCCCCAACCTTCTAACTATTCCAGAGTTTCTCCTCACTCCCGGGAACCACACAGGTGTCACGCAGGCTCCAGAGCTGAGACACACACTTACTTGTACTTCGTTCCAGTTCGTGGATGCGGCTGGATTTTGCAGCGATATAGGGTGGGGTCCCTCATGCATCCATTGTTACTGCTCATGTCGATTTTTGCTCGCAAACAACAGGACTGGCCAAATGGGCTCCCCTTCTTCATTTCTTCCCACATTTGCAGATTCTTCGAAACAGCTATAAAACAAAAGTGTCAGAGGTGATTGGAAGAATCACTCGAAGGTAGATTCAAAATAAAAGAGTCCTGGGTAATTGGATATACATTTCCTCACGGTCCCGCTTTACAGCGGAAGCACGTGCTGTCCTTCTGAAAATACTGTTGTTTCCGATGTTGGAAATCAAGAGCAAGGGCATGAGATGAAAAGGATGAGACAAAAATATACATGTGAAATAAACTCAGTATTTTAATAAAGTTGGGAAAAAAAGGCAAGGCTTCATTCTGGAAAGGTAACAAAAGTGGGAAAAAGCTCAGGAAACGTGTCACCAAGATGTTAGAGAAAAGCTAGAATCAGCCCCTTCCCTGCTGGAGACTAACAACGGGGCAGAGGAAGCACAAGGGCTGAGCTTTCTACTACTCGGCCTTTCTCATCTGCAGTCCTGGCACGACTGCCCTCTCCTGTCTGGGTACCAGGAGACTCTGGTCTTGGCTTGCCTCAGTCCTCGGTACAGAACAAGTTGGCCTAGGCCTCAGGCCCAAAGCTGTGCCTGTTGCAAAAATCTGGCTGAGCAGGGAGCAGGTCTCTGCCCTCGGAAGGCCCCCCAGACTTTCCTGGGGAGAGGAGACTGCACGCCCGGAGAAAAGAGGACAGAAGAGTCTGTGATACAAGCTTAATATACCGAAAGCTCCAAATCTCAGTCTATGGTAAATCCAAATACAAAATCCCCATCTCCAAGCTCCAAATCCCAGCAACCTCAATAAACACCCTTTCCTGGCTCAGGAGGCTGAACGCATGATTCGCAGTCACAGGGCCCTGGGTGAGCCTTCTGGCAACTCACAGCCTCCATAGCACAGCCAGGGAGTCCTCGTGGCCACCTCTCCCCAAGTAAGTCCAGTTGAAATCTCTGAAAACACAGAAAAACTAAGGGACTTTGCCTTACATGTAACTGACCCCAGCTTGATCTCTGGCACTGCCTGTGATTCCCCAAGCAACAGGCAGGGGTCCCTCCTAAGCAGAGTCAGGAACAGCTCCTAAGCACGCAGGTGTGGCTCTAACCCCACCCCTCTACCCCCCAAAAATAAATAAAAAGTAATAATACTGCACACAGCTGCTTCTCCCAGAAAGGAACATAACTTGAGGCCCCCATAGCCATGCCACCAGACTCCGCACCAGGCTGTTTTCACAAGGGGCGCCCCATAGGGGGGCGGGTGAGAAGTCTCCCCGCCCCAAGGGACCCAGCAGCAGACAGACCTCCACAACCCAACCACCACCACAATCCGGGCTGAGCCACACGCATGAGTGAACATATTCCTGGACCTCGAAGCCGCTTTTGTGCCCATGTGACACACCGTAAGACAATTCCTACCCATTCTCCATAATTACCACACCATATTTGATGGGGTTCAGACAGTAGGCATCAAATCAGGGGGAAATACATATATATATATACACATACATATTTTCAGACATACATATCAAAGCTTACATCACCCAAACTTTAACAATGTTAGTGATATCCTAGAGAATGTCTTAAAGGCTCCTGCCAAAACAGAACATTCTTCACACTGTTTCCTATATGAATACTTTTTTGTAAGCATGTTCAGCAGTTCTTCATAACAGACAATACAAAATATATTCTTTCGGTTGAGTTTTGGGTCTGTCCTACCGCTGTTCATCAATTTGCTCGTGCGGGCCCAGTAACGTCTCCATTCTGAGACTTCTTGTTACTGTGTTTGGCATATTGAATAGTCACAGGTAGCTTGCCAGAGAGGGGTGGAGGAATTGAACCCAGCCCCTCTCGTAGAGCCCAGCAAACTACCGAGAGTATCTTGCCCTCACGGCAAAGCCTGGCAAGCTACCCGTGATGTATTTGATATGCCAAAACACAGTAACAAGTGTCACAATGGAGATGTTACTGGGCCCGCTTGGGCAAATCAATGAACGACGGGAGGACAGTGACAGTGTTTTGGGACAGGGATTGGGGCTTGGGATGGAAACATCCTGAATTTGATGGTGGGAAGGTGTAATGGTGGTGGGATTGGTGTTTGAATATTAAATGTAATCAAATATTGTGAATCAACTTATAAAATAAATTTAAAAAAAGCAAAAACACTTCATAACAATTTAAATTTCCGAGCGATAGCACAGTGGTAGGGTGTTTGCCTTGCAAGCAGTCGACCCGACAAACTCGGGTTCAATTCCTCTACCCCTCTTGGAGAGCCTGGCAAGTTACTGAGAGTAACTCACCCGCAAGGCAAAGCCTGGCAAGCTACCCATGACGTATTCGATATGTCAAACACAGTAACAAGTCTCACAATGGAGACGTTACTGGACCCGCTCGAACAAATCGATGAACAACGGGAGGACAGTGACAGAGTTCCCAAATGTAATACCTGAGATTTAAACAGCACAATGTACTTAAATGACACGTAACTACAGCAGGAAAGCAGCACAATTCAGAAGGATGGGGAACAAGTCATAAATCAGATATGGGTGTGCATTACTTGTGGTTTTTGCCAAGTGCTATTTCTAGTATACAAGGCAACAATCAAAGCTTATATATTACTTTCACACTTTGCTGCGGGAAGGAATATTTGACAGAAATAGTTTCACTGCAACCAAGTGAAAGCAGCATGAAAAGACTTGAGAGTGGTAAGAGGTGCTGAGGGACACACTTCACATGCAGTTGTAATTCCAACAAAGGAACAACCAACCACGAAAAGATGACACAGAAAAAAAAGATTTCGGGTCTGGGGGGTAGCTCAGTGACAGAGCACTTGCACTGCACATTCAATGCTTGGGCCTCATTTCCCGCACTATCTAGTCCCCTAAGGCCATATGGGTCCCCGAGTGCCAAGGAGAGAGTAGACCCCCGGCACTGCCCCAACCAAGAAATAAAGGGTTTCTAAGAGATGAACTCATGTCTGGATGGTATTGCCTAATGGCTCCACGTGCAGACAGGCAGAGAAATGTTCCATGAAAGAAGACACAGGAAGCGCATCAGTGAGAAGCAGCAGTTCCCCCACAGGGCCCAATTCTCACAGTTTCCTCTGTGTTTAGATTCTGCCCTCTGCTCGCGCTCAGCCTTCATCTGCTCAGCCGGAGTATCATCCACATAAGCCTTCCCTTCCTGAATCAGCTTCTCTGCATATTTCATGATGGTTTCAAAGTGATCTGAGGTATAGGTGAATTGGTCTGGCTTGATATGCAACATAGCAACATCTTCCAAGATAACCTGCAAGAAGAATCCGAAAGAAGCATCTACTGAGCTTTTGGCCTTTGGAAGCATGGGGGCAGTTTTCATGCCCTGGTACTGCATTGGGCAAATGTAATACTACAACACAACACTCTGACAGCCTAAAAATGGTTGTGGAAGTTGGATGGTATTAGAGCAAAAACTTAAAAAACAAACAAACGAACAAACACTAAGACTTCACCATTTTAATGCCTCCACATTTTTAGTGGCAAAAGTGGATCTTGTGAGAGCTGGAGCAATAGCACAGCCGGTAGGGCGTTAGCCTTGCACACAGCTGACCCAGGTTTGATTTCCAGCATCCCATATGGTCCCCTGAGCTCTGACAGGAGTAATTCCTAAGTGCATGAGTCAGGAGTAACCCCTGTGCATCACGGAATGTGACCCAAAAAGCAAAAATTAAAAAAGTGGATCTTGTGACAGAGCTGTCCTTGAACCGTGGAAAAGCTGTTTCTTGCAGTCCTACTTACCACGTGCCCTCTGCATTGCTCCTGAATAGAGAAGAGGCTGGGGCCCTTCACACTTCTCAATGCCTACTGTGTTTCTTCCGTAAACTTAAAACTTAAGACCTCCAGGTCCGGGTCAGCCCCTGCCCCGCCCGCCGGCAGGGGTGTCCAAGTGGTGCCGCCACCACCACACCCCGCACCACGGCGCTGCGAGTCGCATAGAGCGTGGAGTGTGTGGGCTGCCATCCATTGCCTGCGCGCCTCGTGCGTCCCTGCCTGGGCCCTGAAGGCGGGTGCCACTCGGACTCTGGGTACAGGCAGGGTGCTGCTGGCTATGCAAAAGTTCACAGACACACATGAATGGATCACAACGGAAAACGGTATTGGAACAGTGGGAATCAGCAATTTTGCACAGGAAGCTCTGGGAGAAGTTGTTTACTGTAGCCTTCCTGAAGTCAGGATGAAGCTCAACAAGCAAGATGAGTTTGGTGCTTTGGAAAGCACGAAAGCTGCTAGTGAACTCTATTCGCCTTTATCAGGAGAAGTAATTGAAATTAATGAAGCTCTTGCAGAAAATCCAGGACTTGTCAGTAAGACTTGTTATGAAGATTGTTAGCTGAGTAACCATCTGAGTAACCCTTCAGAACTAGATGAACTGATGAGTGAAGAAGTATATGAGAAATACAAAAAATCTATTGAGTGAAAATGAAACCTCTTAATAAACCCGTATGAAAACACATAATCTAGCATAGTTGTTTTAAATTACTGGTGGATAGAATATTTAATACTACACAAGTGGAAAAACTACTTGCAACAATGCAACTGGAAAGAAAATGCCCCTTAACTTTCTGAGGATTGCAAATGAACATTATACACATCTTTTTCACAATACCAATGTAATTTGCTTTCATCCACTCTTGAATTTAGATCAAAATACTTAATGATTTGGCAGTGTAGAAAACTGTAGGTGGGCAGTGTTAGATGAACCTAATTTTGCAATATTCTGTTTTTGCTGGTGTTATTTTTATACAATGAAGCAACAACCTTGCAGGAAAAAAAGAATGCTTTAATAATAAAATGTTCAACTTCATTAAAAAAAAAGAAAACTTAAGACTGCCAGTGAGCATTTGATTCTTATAGGAAAATACAGCATATGAGTCAATCCACAAAGACTGGGGAAAGTTTGAAAAGCAGCGGGTAAGCTTTTTTTTCCTTTTTGGGTCTCAGCTGGTGATGCTCAGGGGTTACTCCTGTCTCTGTACTCAGGAATTACTCCTGGTGCTGCTTGGGGAACCATATAAAATACTGGGGATAGAACCCAGGTTGGCCCCATGGAAGGCAAACGCCCTACCCGCTGCACTATCACTCCAGTTCTGCAAACAGGAAGTTTTTCAGGATGGGAACTCACATGACTTTCAGGCTGAGGGCTCAGACTTAGATACAGAGAATGAGTATCTGTCAATGCTCCTCCCATGAAGGTGACCCTCAAATTTCAAATCATTTTTCTGGCAAAGAGTCATCAGTGCATCTTTAATTACCTTCTCAAAATCTTCCTTCTCTTTTTCGGGATTTGTGTCATCAAATCTCATGATCAGTTTCCCTTTGAAGTTAACCTGGTAGTGTTGGTTCAGAAGTGCGGCCTTCGCATGCCCGATGTGTAAGTACCTGAAACGAGACATTGTGAAGACCCATCAACAGGGTTGAGCGCAAGGCTTCCAGTTAGTCTTTAGGAGGAGAGTTAAATACTCTGCGAGTTGTTAAGTCAAGAGTTTTATTTTCTAGCAAGAAGGACCGAGATAATCTGATCTGATCTGATAGAAGGAAGGGCAGAAGCAACTGTACCATTTATAAAATCATCCTTAGAAACTGCTTGATATGTAAAGTATCACAAAGGGGCAAGTTATTACAAGTATTATAATCTGGAAGAAATGTTTCTATAGATATTATTTTTTTAAAAGGGGGGGAGGGGGTCCTCCATGCTTCTAGCCTTCTGTTCTCTCCAGTGCCAGAGGAGTTAATAGTCCAACACTTTCATCCTGACCAACACACCACCAGCCATCATCAAACTCTGGTCCATGGCCATTTGACAAGGAATAAAATCAATTGGAGGGGCCAGAGAGATAGGACAGGGTCTAGAGCACCTGCCTTGCTCGTGGCTGACTGGGATTAGATCCCTGACACCTATAGATGGTCTCCCAGCAAAGTCCCAAGTGATCCCTGAGCACAGAGGCAGAAGTAAACGCTGAGCACTGTCAGGGCAAACCCACTTGACCCTCTGCCGCAAGTCAACTAGGACACTGCTGATTCTATATAAATCAACATTATCCGCTATTGATGAGGTGGCAATGAAAGCAACATCCTCTTTGCTGAAAATACATATATGGTGGCAGGGGGCAGGGCAAAGAAAGTGTGAGGCGGGGAAGTTGAGAGCTGGACTCCTTTCACAGGAAGGGCAGCCATGGCTACACCTGTTTGATCTGACAGATCAAGATTACCTCAGATCAAGCTGACAGAAACAGAGGAAGAAAAGTAGGACCTTGGGTATGTCTGTCATTTTCAAACTAAATCCACATTTTTGGAGATTAATGCAGCACTCTAGATCAACAAATCAACTTTAAAGGATTCCTACACATGGTACTGTACACAGGTAGTACAAAACAAGGCATTTAGGGAGCCAGAGAAATAGCTCTAAGGGCTGAGCATATACTGGGCATTCAGGGTGCCAGGGCCTGAGCCCAGGATCGGCAATGCACCATCTCCTGGGTACTACAGGGAGCAGCACACCCCGCCCCCCTGCCCCACAGCACCACCAGGTGTGACCCCAAAATAAAACAAAATGGGACAAGAATATGAAAACACTTTCTGCATAAAAATAAAGGACAACATTCCCAGATCAGATCCTAGAATAGAAAACGGGTGGGTATCAAGGAAAAACTTTAAGAAATTGTATGGAATGCAGATAAAGCTGAATTTCAGCACTGGTTTATTAATTGTAACAACAAACACTGAAAGATGACATTTGAGAAAACAAGGTATGTGCATATGTCAACTTTTAAAAGAACTGTTCACAACACTTATCTAATAAACTAGCAGCTTATTAGGAGGGTGGGGAATATGGCTCCATGAGAGCTTCTGTCTTGCATATGTGAGATCTGAAAGAAAGCCTAGCACCACACATGCGTGTATGCGCTCTCTCTCTCTCTCTCTCTCTCCCTCCCTCCGTCTCTCTCAAAGTAAAAAAAAAAAAACTGAGATATTTCTGGGAAAGAACCAGAAATACTATGTGTTTATTTTACTGAAAAATGTTACCTCCAAAACATTCAAGATTCATTGCTAACAGAAAACTAATCAATGACTACCAGCCCCCACCAATTCTTACCCAGAAATCAACATACAGGAGCCATATTAGTACCTCTCTCTTGGACTTAAAGATTTTTATTAGTAAATTTGAAACAACAACAAAAAAATGGGTAGAGGGAGGGTCAGTCTTCACAATGCCAAAACTTGAGGATGCTAACAGGAGGTAAGTCACAAGATTATAAAAATAATTCAGCTCAAGAGACAAGGTACATCAACAAAATAGCCCCAGAACATCAGATTCGCTGTTAGTGCTCTACAACACTGCACAGAACTGACTGTCTGGAGTCCAGGACCCCCAGAGCTCAGGGAATGTGGGAGTCTGGCAAGTTGCTAGAATCCGGTTCCAGAACCACCTGTCAGATGGAGACAGTGGCCTTGCCTTACCCAGGAAACTGTTACCACTCAATGCTGCACTAGGGAAAGCATACGGCAGGCCTGCAAGTAACAAACCACATACACACAAACCGATGCATAAAAATGCGCTGAGAGCTGGGAATAACAGCACAGGACTGGAGAGAGAGGACAGCAGGGAAGGCGCTTGCCTAGCATGCAGGTGACCTGGGCTTGACCCTGAAACCCCACACAGTCCCACGATCCTCCTGAGAGTGACCCCTGAGCTCAGAGTCTGGAGTAAGCCCTGAGCACCACGTGCAGTCCAAAAATCAAACATAAGAAATTTAAGCCCCAAACTGCATTGGGCCAAAGCAGAGCCTCTAGAACTGACTAACCTAAGTGATGCTGGCAGATAACAGAATTCACAGGGTTCACCAATAACCAGGGCTTAAGGTAGCTTTCCGCAAACCAGTGATGGAGGTACAGAGCAAGATCTCATCAGGTATGTGGGAGCCCAGGGGTGCATGGGGTCTGCACCTCTGAGGAAAGGGAGACGCATGAATGCTTCTACCTAACAAGGTGCCAACTGCCCTTCTGCATCTGCCTCCATATTTCCCAAAACATCTCTCCCACTCACTCTCCCTGTGCTTGACCTACTGCCGCAATTAGGATTTAAAGCAGAGAGCATGGGGAGGGCTAACACTGACACTGCTGCCTCTGGCGCTCTTGGCACCATCAGAAGAATCCTTAGGCAAAACAAAAGCGCTGCCTTCACCAGCAGGCAGAGCCCATACACTACAGAGGGGGTAGAATTTGGCTGAGAATGAAAAAGAGACAACACTGAAATAAAATTGGCAAAAAATAGCCACAATGTTTCCAGAACAAAGCCTGGTACCTGGCCCCAGCAGGTATCCCACTCCCACCTGACAGGCACTCGGGAGGGGCAGAAGGCCATCCTGGACTGGCCTGTGCTAGTCCCAGGTTGGGGACCTCAAACTACAAAGGCTTTGCCCAACGTGTCTTTCAAATATGATTATTTTTTCCTTCTGTGGAAAAGAGTGAGGGATGGGGGAAGCCTGCCAAGAACAGAAAGAAGCTACCTGGCAGGCAGGGCACTTGCCTTGCATGTGGCCGACCCGAGTTCGATCCCCAGCACCTTACAAGGGTGATTCCTGAGCACAGAGTCAGGGGTCCTGGTGCGGCCCAAAACAAAAAGAGACAGAAAGAAACTCACTAGGAACTGAATGGCTAATCACTCTCTGCCCTTTGGGAAAAAAGAGCAAAATAATTCTACCCTAATTTGTACAGCTCATTTTAAGAATTCCTTAGGATACAAGCACAAATCCTTACTAAGCAGAAGTCTGAAAATCTCAAAAGGTTAACAAAGCTTAAAATTTCTGCTTTGTGAAGTTTTTTTTCCCTCCCCTTTTAGTTTCTGGGACATACCTGGTGATGAACAAGATTTACATCTGACTCTGCACTCAGAGATCACTCGGGGAGGGGCGTGGGGGGCGATATGTGATGCCAGCATCGAACCTGAGCCTGCTGTGTGCAGGGCGAGCACCCTATCTGCTGCACTCTCTCTCCGGCCTCTGTGAACGCTTTCCTTCTACAACTGAAATCCTTTCTGGGAATGAGAAACCATAACTGATGTATTGTATAGCACAGGATCTCAATCAATATGGAGGAAAAAACTGCAATTAAAAAATAAAATTCTGGATAAAAACTGAAATGTTTTTCTTACTACTTTAATAAAACAAGACCACAAATTTTCTAAAGCAGTCAATAATTAAGAAACCATTGGGGCTGGAGTGAGAGTACAGAGGGTAGGGCATTTGCCTTGCATGTGGTTGACCCGAGTTCAATCCTTGGCATCCCATATGGTCCCCAGAGCACCACAAGGAGTAATTTCTGAGCATTGCTGGGTGTGACACAAAAAGCCAAAAGAGAAAAGAAACAATTAAGATGCTGCTGAGAATTTTAATTTCCACAATTATTTTTCCTTCTGTATTTAAAAACCTATAAATAAGCAAAGCATCTCATAACCACCCTTAAAGTTCTCCATTAAGTCAGTTCAAGTGTCAGCCCCACTGTCTTACCCACTGGCTTCTGGAGGAAAGCGGACAGTAACCTTCCCCATCTCAGCACCTGGGAGCTCAATAAACTTCCCAACATCTTGCTTCTTCTCGGGCGCCTGAAATGCAGAACAAAAACTGTCACGTGGTCAAATGCTTAAACATACAGTCAGTCAACAAACAATTATGCATAACCCACTGTGTTCCAGGCAGGATTGTGAGAGAGAAAAGGGAACATCTATGCACTGGGAAACTCAAGGATGTCCATCAGCCCAAGCAGGAGGAAGACACACACACGAGGAGCAATCCAGCTGACATCGGTGAGCTGACCACGCCCAGAGTGGGCAGGAAAAGCTTCAGAAGCGTGAGAGCACAGGGAACTTTGAAAACCAAGGGGGAAAGTGTCTGATGGAGGACATTCAGTCGAGGAGCACGTGTGAGCCTCAAAGGCAGGGAAGAGCAGGTAAAGCAAAGAAAAGCATGCGGCAGGGAGGGCAAGGGAGCAGAAACAGGTGAGTCAGAAATGGGAAGCTTACAGGGGTGGGGTGGGATGGGGGAGGGATACTGGGAGCACTGGAGGTGGAGAATGGGCACTGATGTAGGGATGGGTACTTGAGCATTGTATAACTGAAACCCAAGCACAAAATACTGTTACGTCTACAACTGCACCTCATGGTATTTCACTAATAAAAATTTTAAAAAAGAAAGCGGGAAGCTTAGTTTCTGTGTTTTGGGAAATGGAAAGGGATAAAGCGACCGTGTATTTGGATTTCCTAAGACTGATGGCCATATCGACACAGAGAGGAAACAGAAAGATATCCAGGAAGTTTGGGGTTGGGCACAGGGCTCAGTGCCAGAGCAAATGCCAGCATGTCCAAGGCAACAAGTCAGATCCCGGCCATGGCATGCACGACCCCGGCCAAAAAACATGAAGAAAGAAAGAGGTTGAGGAAAAGCTCCAAGGGCTGGAGCAGGAGTCCTGAGTCCAACCCTGCCGCACTGTGTGGCCCCAACCGTGCCCTACTCACCAGCAACCCTCCCCCCACCTCCCCACAAGGAGGAAGTTGTAGCACTGTAGCACTGTCCTCCCACTGATCATCGATTTGCTCTAGTGGGCACCAGTAACATCTCCATTGTGAGACTTGTTACTGTTTTTGACATATCAAATACGTCAGTTAGCTTGCCAGGCTTTGCCATGCGGGCGCAATACTCTCGGTAGCTTGCTGGGCTCTCCTAGAGGGGCAGAGGAATCGAACTGGGGTTGGCCTGGGTCGGCTGCGTGCAAGGCAAGCGCCCTACCTGCTGGGCTATCGCTCCAGCCCGAAGAGGAAGTTAAGGAATGCAATTATGAACTAATCAAACAGGTCTTAAGAACAACAACAACGAATACAAAGAACAAAAATCTACAGCTAGGAGAATGCTAGACCCCACTGAGTGAGACAACGTGCAGAGCAGTGGAAAGGAAGATTCCACCCGGAACAACCAAGTGGAATGAGGAGTCTGAACCCAGTAATGAGTGACTTTCCACATCACTTGGAAATAAGCTTCTTATAAGAACCCTTGAGACCATCATGCGACGACTGGAATGGGAAGGAATGGGAGTGAAGATAGATAGATGGTCAGCAACTACACCACCTCCGCTTTGCTGATGACATTGTTTTAATAACACCAAACATCAGCCAAGCGGCACAAATGCTGGCCGACTTCGACCATGAGTGTGGAAAGGTTGGACTACAGCTGAATCTTACGAAGACAATGTTTATGAGAAACAGCCTCGTTCCTGATGCCCCATTCGCTCTCAATGGAACGACCATCTCCGAGTGCAACAGCTATGTGTACCTAGGTCGAGAGGTCAACATGAAAAATGACCTGGCACCCGAGCTGCGCAGGAGGAAGAGAGCAGCTTGGAACGCCTTCAAGAATGTCAAAGAAATAGCTAAGAGGACGAAGAACCTTCGGCTCCGGGCACATCTCTTTGATTCCACTGTTCTTCCTGCATTAACATATGCCTCAGAGACCTGGGCCCTACGCAAACAGGATGAGAACACTATTCAGGTCTCCCAAAGAAGAATTGAAAGAGCTATGCTTGGAGTATCACGTTTCACTCAAATGAGAGAAAGAATCCGCAGTTCTGACATCCATCGACGATCAAGAATCAGGGACGCTGCCTCGTTTGCCAAGGTGTCAAAAATCAGATGGGCTGGTCACGTAATGAGATTTAAAGACGACCGCTGGACTAGAGCTGTTACCGACTGGATTCCACGGGATGTCAAAAGACCGCGTGGCCACCCACCTACCAGATGGTCAGACTTCTTCGTCAAGATCATGAACAATCGGTTTGAGGCTCTTCATGTTCCCAGAGCGAACAGATGCCATTGGGCTACACTAGCACGCGACAGGGACAAATGGAGACGTTACTGGCGCCCGCTCGAGCAAATCAATGACTAACGGGAAGTTAAGTGATTAAGTGGAAATAAGCATTTCTGGTAGGAGGTGGGGGGAACTGCTCACAAGGGAAGTGTCGGGTGCTGCTCTTGGTGGTCTGGGAGATTCTGTGGGAGGGGGCAGACGTGGGCTCCTACTGGAACAGAAAGTACTACCGTCCACTCGGCCAACTCTCTGGCTGGGACCTTTGTCTTTTCTTGACGGTTTTTGGGTCATTCCCAGCAGTCCTGGGAACTCTTGGCACAGTGCTGGTGCCACAGTGCAGTGCAGGAAGTGACCCTGCATTCAGCCGAGTGCCACCCCACAACCTACCCTTGGAGCCTTGAAATAATTACTTGGCCACACATGGATTGGGTTGCCTTGCACGTAGTACACCTGGATTCCATCATCAGCACCACATACGGTTCCCCGAGCACCACCAGGAGTGACCCTGAGTGCAGAGCCAGGAGTCACAGCTGCTGTAACCCAAAAACAGAAAAAAAGGAAAAAACCCAAACTGAGATTTGAGATGTGGGTCTGAGAAATTGTAACTCACCACTTTGGCTCTAGCTGGGGAAATGTTCCACTTGGCGCCGACTGACCGGAAGGGTTGCTGGGCTTCCAGGAAGCCAAACCAGCGCTTCACGTGCACTGGGGCCTTGCTCTGTCTCAATTCCTCCTGCCACGCAGCACTTCCTATTAGCAAACACAAGTATAAAACCATATGACAAATCTACAATTTCAAAAGCAAATCTACTTTATGGGCAGTTTTTCATATAATTTTGAAACCTCTGCGCTTCATGATGAAATGTTCCAAGGGAATTCTTGTGATGAGACAGGAAATTAGGAAGCAGCATGGGTCTTTGTAAGATCAGCCACTGTGACTGCCGTGAGAGACATACACAATCATCGATGTGAAGTTGTGCCTTCTAATCTAGTGAATATACAATTACTAAAACAGCACACACTTCACAGGACATTCTTTGCTGTTTTGTTGTGGGGCCACACTCGGAGGTGCTCTGGACTTATCCCGTCTACACTCAGGAATCACAACTGATTAGGGGACCATATGGGGTGCTAGGGATTGAACCCAAGTTGCTCCATGCAAGGCAAGAACATTCTCCAGCCCCAAAGACACTCTTTAGTATGATTAGAAAGTTCCATTACCTTTCAGCGTGGCCCAAACACATAAATCTGCTAAGCTCAAGGTGTTTCCTACTAAGTAGGTTCTCAGAGACAGGCCAAGATTGAGTTCGTTGAGTGCAGAAGGAAACAAATCACATGAAGATAATTTTGTCGCACTGAACTCCAGCCAGTGATCAATCTGGAATGAAATGAAAAGCACTTCAGGGAAGAAGGAAACAAAAAAATTTAAAAACTGAGGGACCCAGGGAACGAGTTCTCTGAGGGCTGGGGTATGTACAACCACATATCTCCCCGCTGAGCCCCCCCCTCCCCATCATCTACAAAGAGAGTACCAGAGGCTGAGCTACTGTTTGTCATTAAGGAACTAAGACATAGCTGTAAAAGAAAATGGACTCAAACTACAGGCACGACCTTGAGGGAAAAAAAACTCGAGGGAGGGGGGCATAGGATTTGAGGTGTGCATCTGGTTGGCAAGGGGGTGGGCCCCAAGGGTCTGAGACAGTGCCAGGCCCTCACAGCCCACATCTGCAGTACACCATGCTGAACTGACAGCCTGGATGGGCCATGTGTTGCCAGGAGTGATCCTGAGCCCGTGGGAATGGCTTAGGAGGCCAAAGAAATGTGTCCGTATACCAACATAGTCCTGCTCAGCTAAAAGACAGCCCCCACAGACCCCAACAGAACAACTGACCTGAGTCAAAACTCAAACTTCGTGCCCATGAGTTCTCCCCACTGAAGATCTAATGACTATCCCATAAACTGGTCTGGCCGGCAGCAGTAGCCCCTCGCATAGGACCAAGTACGTGAGCCAGCAACAGAACTTCTCAAAAGCAGAAGCTAGTCTCAAGCACAGTTAAGGAGAGCGTGGGCCTCACCTCAGTGTGTTCCAGCTGGTTGGAGCCATATAGCCCAGCGGAGGTGGCCACCCTGGCCAGGTAGCGAAGTATAGAATTGATGTCCGTGAACGCCACATTTCTGGAACAGACACAAGATATGAACTGTCCCCGTTGCTACAACCAGTCAATAAGTCACAGGAGATGAACGTAAAAAGAGACACCCTGCTTAACCTGTATTTCCTGTCACGTGGGAGAAAAGAAGCCTTTCATATTTGTCAATCAAATCCTGATTTATTCAGAAGTGTTCAAGTTATCCCAACAATTCACGTCAGAGGAGGCACCATGACTCTTCATCCCTTTATTATTTTCTACATCCATCTATGAAATAACTGTCAGGGGTTGAGGACAGACTGAAAGTATATCCAATTACAGCCACCAAGAATGTGTCACAGAGGCCAGTTTTGCCTGTTTCCAGGTGAGAATGAAAAAGCAAAACTGTAATGTAAAAACTCCCAGCTGAGTACCCCATTCCCCACCCCTCCAGGCAGTGTGGCCCATTCAAGCATGAGAACAAATCAGACCGAACCAAGGCTTTCAGAGCAGCAGAAATAGAAGGGTGTGGGACAAAAACGGGATGGTTAAGCTGGAACACACGATAAAACAGACAGGAAATGATGAAAGGACTGATCATCACCCACAAGCCCATGGCTCTGACACAAATACTTGAAAACATGCACACTTCCCAAACACATTTTTCTAGGCAAATACAGAATTTCATGTGTATGTCCTCATTTTCCATGATCACTGGGTATGTTATTTCCAACATTAAAAATTCTTCATAACCAACACATCCTTCCCACCCCGCCAAGACCAGGAGTTGCCCCCCATGAGCGGCTCTCTAGCACAACCATGGCCCCAGAGGCACACAAACCTAATTCGGAACCCAGCAGCTTTTAGCAGAAATGTGAATGGACTGTGCATTGAGCTATGCTGTCAGGCCCCCCACCCCGCCCCGGGGGGAGGGAAAGGGTGTCTATCTCTTCCGCCTTCCCCCCACCCCCCTGCGGCATGGTGGCCGCCGCCTCAAAGCTTACTGGACAGCCAGGTATGACTATCCCGTAAACTGGTCTGGCTGGCGGCGGTAGCCCCTCGCATAGGACCAAGTACGTGAGCCAGCAACAGAACTTCTTCAACAGAGGCAGCAGTGATGGGGCAATTGCCGCCTCATAGGATGGGGGCAGAACTGGCACATCCTTCCCTCTTCCCTCCCCACTGAGACCATGAGTCGTGTGTCATCGTTCCCCCCGGCCCCAGCAGCTCTCCAGCAGGGCTATGGCCCTAGAGGCACACAAACCAATCTCGGAACTATGCGGCTTTGGGCAGAAATCCCTCTAGACTTAATTAGTAAAATATCAGAAATCCAAAATTGTGTGACTGCTATTGCAGTCGCGCGAAATCATATGGTCTTCATAACCAGCAATAGAAAACAAATTATTTCATGATGCCTTTTCAGCAGGTCTGATTGTTGGGGTAAAATTCCAAATAATGGTACATCTTTTGTCAAAATAATTAATGTAATCAAAGAAGAGAGAGAGTTAAGTGGAAATCATCTGCCTCACAGGCATGGGGAGGGGTGGGATGGGGGTACATTGGGGTTCTTGGTGGTAGAAAATATGCACTGATGAAGGGATGGGTGTTTGACCACTGTACGACCGAGACTTAAACCTGAAAGCTTAGTAACTGTTCTCACGGTGATTCAGTAAATAAATTAAAAAAAAAAAAATTCTTCATGGGGCTGGAGTGATAGCACAGCGGGTAGGGTGTTTGCCTTGCATGCAGCCGACCCAGGTTTGATTTCCAGCATCCCATATGGTCTCCCGAGCACCGCCAGGAGTAATTTTTGAGTGCATGAGCCAGGAATAACCCCTGTGCATCGCCAGGTGTGACCCAAAAAGCAAAAAAAATAAAAAATAAAAAAAAATTCATAGGCCTGTTTCATGTGTCTAATATGCCAAGCTGGGACTTATCATGGGACTTACCATATTTAATTCCTACTAAATCCCTATTTAATTGGTTCCAACTTGCCATCAGATTATAATGGCACTAAAACCCTCACCTACAAGAGCTGGGAAGGGGTGCAGTGCCCCCAGCAGATCCACCTGTACTCACCAAGCGAGTGCCTCAGCAACAAAGGTGCCTTCAAGGCTTCCTGATACCTCAAAACTGCCACTGTGATTCTGACTGCACCCCAATAACCTGGGACCAAGTTTCCCAAGAAATTAAATGTTCAAAAGTTAGGGATGTGGGAGCCGTGCCCACAAACAATCTCTGGCTCAGCTACACAAGTTAACTTATTGACCTTGCTTCAGAGACCCATAAATAAATCTTGAAAGAGCGCAAAAGCCACAGTTAATCTTGGACCCATGCAAGATTGAACAGACCAGGGCAAATTGGAGGGGGGGTGGGATGGGGGAGATGATGACACACATAACAGGTCAGCCTGGTGCCTGCCCAAGCAGAGCTCCTGGTAGCCACTTGCTCCCACAATCCAAAATTGCCACATGCCCCCGGCCGGACTCCATTGTCTCAGGAGGGAGCTCAAAGAGATAATATGTTGAAAATTCAGATAGGCAGGTTTTGTTACTGAAAACTCCAGACTTTTTGGGAGTTGGGTTAGGCTACCTCCCCCCCACTTCCCTACGCTCCTGGAAGCACTGGTAGCCTCCCTCATGAACCAACTCCAGCACCACCATTTAAGCTTTTCTACCAGGCTTGCTTTAGAGACCCATAAATAAATCTCAAAAGAGATCAAAAGCCACAGTTAATCTTGGGCACACAGTCTGAACAGCCTTGGGTAAATTGGAGCGGGGTGGGTCAACTTGGTGCCACCCAAGTAGAGTCCCCCCACCAGACTCTTGTTCCCACTATCCAAAATTGCTGCCATGCCCCTGGCCGAACTCCACTTTCTCAGGATGGACCTCACCGAGATAAAATCTGCTAAAAATCCGGGTATGCAGATTTTGTGACCGAAAATCTGCTAAAAATCCGGGTATGCAGATTTTGTGACCGAAAATCTGCTAAAAATCCGGGTATGCAGATTTTGTGTCTTGGGGACAGGATGGGCTACCTCTCCCTACCTTCTTATACTCTTAGAAGCCTCGACAGTCACATCCAAACCCCAAAGCTGCCCCCTCAGTTAAAAAGCAACTCCAGGAGCTAGAGTGATAGCACAATGGGTAGGGCATTTGCCTTGCACGCGGCCAAGCAGGGTTCGATTCCCAGCATCTCATGATCCCCCCAGAACTGCCAGGAGTAATTCCTAGTGCAGAGCCAAGAGTAACCCGTGAGCATCGCTGGGTGTGACCCAAAAAGAAAAAAAAAAAAGCTACTCCAGCACTATCTTCCGAATAAAAATACCGAATGCCCTGAACAAACATTATGACCTCTGAATACCTCTACTGAAAACCGTAACGCACAAAAGAGAGAAAAAGAAGAAAAGTGCCTGCCATAGAGGCAGGCCAGGAGAGGGTCGGGATGGTGAGAGGGAAATGAGGGACTCTGGTGGGGAGAAATGTACGCTGGTGGACATCGGATCATTGTATGACTGAAACCCAATCATGAACAGCTTTGTAATGCTCTATCTCACAGTGATTCAATTAAACAAATAACAAAACCCAGGGGTTGGGAGATGCAGCTCAGTGGTAAGGCCCCGGCTTCGCCTGGGTGAGGCCCTGGGGTTCACCACAGCACCACAAAAATGTAAAATAAACAAACAAAAACCCCAGTGTCAAATCTTCCTTGACACTGCTAGTTTCTCTGAAACAAGTGGGACCAGATAGTATGCTGACAGACATAAATCTCTGAGTCTAGTTCTTTCACAAGGGAAGGAAATCTCAAGACACTATCCTAATTATCAAGTAAATCAAACATGTTTTATCTTCAGTATTTTTTAAAATGTTGCTCGGTACTAAAAAAAAAAATATCAAAGCACTTACTCTGACACACGGAGAATATTCTCTTTCCCTTCTTCAATGGAAATGCTGACATTGTCTTTCACATGTTCCACTGCCAGCAAAGCTCCTAAAAACAGTAAGATGAAAAGACCTTATTTCCCTTCGCAAACAATGTAGTATTTAAAAGCTGAATCATAAAGCACAAGTAGGGATGAGTCAACAAACCAATAAAAAGTCCAGCAAGCAGTTCTCACTGGTCTGTAAACAGGGCCTTCTAGTCTTGGCGACATAAGGAACCCCACTGCAGTCATGGCAGAGTGCGACCACCTCTGGAAATGTGCAGCTCCCATTCAGGTGCTGTGATTAGCCTCCCCCTTCCCCGCACAACACCATGGTCATTAGTGTCTGCAGACACACATCTTACCAGATGCTTTACTCATCTCTGAAACCCCCTAAAGAGGCAAAAACCAGCTTAGAGACAGAAAACTAGGACAGAAGGTCCAAGGCCCACAATGTGTGAATTCAGAGTTAGGATCTGACTGTGGCCTCAGATGGTCTGAAACAATCTGCCTCTCACCACATTATGTTTTCTAGACTGATTCATCATTTTTCTTTTTTCAGTTTTGGGCAGCAGTGCTTAGGGTTTACTCCTGGCAGTGCACAGAAGTCCATATGCAGTGCCAGGGATAGAACCCAGGTCAGCTGCGCGCAAGACAAAAACGCCCTGCCACACAGCCTCCCCTGTAAACTGTCTCTCCTCTCTCCACTCCTCGATTTGACGTTCAGATGGCAGCCAGGCAATGGTGTCTAAATCCCTAGCTTTATGAGAAACAAGGCGGTGGAGAGAAGGTTGAGAAGGTTGGTGCAGGACAAACCTGGAACATCTGCTGGGCGACAAAGACATGCACAAAGAAAAATGAGCACAATGCTAAAAGGTTACAGAGACTGGGCTCAAAAACAGTGCCCTGGCAAGAGGTCACATTTTAGTGTATTCATAGATACCCTATTTTAGCAAATGAAAAGAAGAAGTGGCTGACAGAGGCAATAAAAGGTGACTATCAAAGAATCAGCAAGAGACTAAAGAATCGATGTGGTTTCACACAGGCCATTAGGCCATTCTAGGGAAAAGCAAATCCAGTGACAGTAAGGCAGAACAAATTGGGGGGGTCACCCTGGATGATGAAACCAGGGGGTCAATTCTGACAAAATGGAGAATACTCACATGGCCCCCAAACCACAGATGTCTGTTAATTACAGAAAGAAAATCTGTAGAAGGTTCACAGACATTACCTTAAGTAATGGAGGTTAGAATCACCGTATCATTAGGAGAGGCTCAGCCCACACACTAATGAATGGGTGCGGTGAAGAGCAAGACATATTCTAGCCAGAGACCCTGCAGGCTGAGGCAAGCACAAGGGGCCATCAAACCGGGTGCTGGGAGCCATTTTCCAGGTGGTCTCTCACTGTGGGAAGTGTCAAAGCCAAGGAAAGAGTGAAAAAGGTCTGCAGACTGGGAGCTGCAACAGGGGCAAACAGGCTGCTGTCCATTCCCGATTTCCAATCCCCACTCTGCAGGCTCCGCCCCCTTCATGGTGGACTGGAAAGGTGTGCACATCTTTGTGGGTTGCCCTGCCCGTGTTCAGGGTCCATGGAGTTGTAATATTCTGGCCTGGGAGAGATGGTCCCCGGAACATTGTAGGCCAGGGAAGAGCTCCAGTGGGAATACATAACCTAGCAAACACAGGGTCGGGAGTTCAACCCCCAACTTCACATGGCCCCTGAGCACCCCCAGGGGAGTCCCTCCTGGTCGTTGAGCACTGCACCCCTATAAACAAAGGGGGAAAAGGTGGGGGCAGAGACAGCTCGAAGTGCCAAATCCCTGTGATGTGTGAGCTCTGGATTTGACCCCCAGCACTGCCAGGGCATCAACAAGTGTGGGGACCCTCTCCACAAATGCAAAAACAAGTAATAATCCAAATACAAAAAGGCAGAACCTGAAGCATGCTGCCCACTGGAACTGAAGGGAGTGTTCTAGTCCATTCCTGAGCCACTTTAAATATGAATTTACTTTAACACAAACAAAAACAAGCAAACAACACACCAACCAGGGCTAGTGCACAGTCTGAATGTTAGAGGCCCCGACGCTCCGGTTCCGGGGCACATGACCTTATATAAAACAGGGCAATTTAGCAAAGCCTTTTTTCCTAAACAATTCATGGCATTGCAAATTAAGACCACAAAAGTCCCTGAAATAAACCAGAAAGAAATGCAAGAGAGGAGAAAATGTGAACCAATCAACATTTTCAAAGTAACAACAAGTTTAAGATCCTTCCCTAGAATATAGGCAAAATGTGGTTCTGAGGTCTCTAATCTTATTAAGGAAACATATCTGCCCTGTTCGGGAAGATTTTTCTAATACAGTAACAGCCACTGAGCTGGACACTATCTACAGTGCAAATCTCACACCAAACCCTAAAGCGAAAGATATTTCTAAACAAGGAACAATCAAAAATTCCACAACTTGTTATCTGCCTTCTGATCTCCAGAACTCACTTATGTTCGCTCTTAACCACGAGGACACACTCTCCAGCACTACAACATATCAAACCCGAAGTTTGATGAATTGTGTGAAGCTGACCAGAAATGACTAGAACACTGTCATTCAAAGAAATATTTACAAGGCGGGGGTGGGGGGGGGGTAGTTCCGCTCTCCCATGCTTCTCGGAGTTACTCCCACTTGTGACAACGGAGGCATGTTACCAAAATCAAAACACAAAAAGGTGCCACCTCTGTCATGACTAGTCCACCCCGGCCTCGGGTGCCACGGTCTCAGCGCGCCACCGGCGGCTAAGACCGTGGCACCCGAGGCCGGGGTGGACTAGCCATGACAGAGGTGGCACCTTTGCATCGACGCCACACGGATCCGGGACGGAACACGAAAGCAGCACCGATTTAAACGGCCCAGTGCAATTCCCAAGGAGCTTTCTAAAACGCCTAAGTGACAAGTCGATCAACGTCGGCAATCCCTTCCCCGCCGCCCGGCGGCTGCGCGCCACGGCGGCAGGTGGGAGCTGCGGTGTTTGCAGCCGCCAGGCTCGGGCCGGGCACGGCAGCGCCGGGCACACCGGCAGCCACTCCGCCACCCTCGATTAGAAGGAAAGCGCAGCCTCCGCCGGAATTTCAGGGGCGACCCGGCCGCCCGCCTGGTCCCCGATCCTGGATCTCGATGCAACGCGGCTCCCATGCGCTCCCTGGGCGGGGGAGGGAGATCGGGCGGGCGCGGAACTGCGGGGGCCGCGCGCTCGCCCCAAGCGGAGAACCTAAGGGGGGGACCCACGCCTCCCCCGGGAGAGAAGCCGGAGCGCTGGTGCGGGGGGGCAGCGCGTGCGGCGGGGCCCACGGGCGCCGGCGACCCCGCGCGCCACCCGCCCCGCCAAACGCCCGGCTGACGCAACCGTCCCGACGCGGCCGCGGCGCTCACCCAGCGGAGGGTCTCCCGCGTTCACTGTCAGACAGAGCGTCGCCATCGCCGACCGGCAGCCGTGCTCCCGCCCGAGGCCGGCTCCACACCCGCCACGCCAAAAGCTAGAAGCTGCAACGTGTGCGCGACTGACGCCGCAGCCGCCCTCGGACCGCCCCTGCGCCGGGTCGCCGCTGCCGCCGTCGCACGCGCACACCTAGTGCGTCATCACTCGGGGCTGCCCCGTCACTCGGGTTCCGGCCCCAGCCCCGCCCCTGCGCCGAGAGGCGGCATCGCGCACCCGCATGGCGTCATCACGTCGCGCCGGCAGATCCCGGGGCTTCCGGTCAGCCTGTGAGGGTGCCGCCTGGCGCACACGATGTGCGTCATGATGCGCGCCGCCCTGTTCTCCAGCGCTTCCGCGCTTCCGGCGCCTGTATTTTGCCTGTGAGGGACCTCGGTGCCTGCCTCGTGTACTTTCTGGTTCATGAAGTTGAAGTGGTGGAGGTGTTATTGACCCTGCCTATGAGGAAGGCAAGATGGAAGAGCGGTTCTGTAGACGCTCATGTGAACCTCGAGGCAAAATGGGTTTTCCTAAGAGGAGCAGACATAGAAGGGCTGCACTCCTGTGTGGAGTATAAAGTAACAGAATGGAAGACTAAAACCGGAAGATAGTAGAGATAAGTACCAGGAGGATTGCTCCACAGCTTGGAAGCCGGCCTCACATGCTGGGGGAAAAGGCAGATGAGATGGAGAAGGAACCACCAAGTAAAGGATGCTTGGAGGGCTCACTTGGGGTGGGAGATAAGTGCTGAAAGTAGACTGTAGACTGAACACAGTGGCCACTTAATACCTGCATTGCAAATCATGACACCCTAAAGGAGAGAGAGAGAGAGTAAAAGGGAAAGCACCTGAGAGGGAGGCGAGGGTTGGGAGAGGGGGAATGGGGTGTGGAGGGATACTAGGGACATTGCTGGTGGAGAATGGGCACTGGTGGAGGTGATATAGGCAGGTAGACAGGGAAGGCCCCCTCCCAAAGCAATGACAAAAGCCAGCCCTGCAGAAAATAGGAAAACCAGAACTAAGGCTTAATAAGATCCTCACCTGGCTCCAGCAACAGACCCAAGGAAGCTCCTGCAGGAACAAAAGGCCAGAAAAGGACTTTCAAAGAAGATCATCACCACTCCCATCCTCCCTGGTAACCTCCTTAGCAACGGACTTTTACCTGGGAAGAAGCCCTACGTGGGGGCAGGTTGGAGAAACCCTATAAAGATCACCTTGAACAAAGGCAGAGCGGGCATATGCTGCCTGAGCCCTTGTGCTGCTTGCACTCACGTGGCCTAGCACATGTGGGCTGACCACATGTGTTGCCCGCATCTCCCCTCTTGAGATGTGTAGTTTCATGCTTCCGTGTCTAATGCCAGGATATGTGTAGGGGCTCTCCGCCCTTGGAGAAGCCCGTGTTCTCTCTTGAGTACGTTACTCTCTCATTCTCTTCCTCTCCAAAACCCCCCAAATAAAATCTGTTTACTTCACCGCTTGTCTACTCCTAAAATTCCTTTCTGCGAGGCGAGACAAGAAGCCAGTAACCCTGGGTCCCAGGTGGCAGAAGCGGGTGTGGAGAAAGTGACCGTCTTTCTCCTTCCCACTTCACATAAGTCACCCATGGGGCCCACCGACATAAGAGGGATGGTACTCGATCATTGTATGACTGAAATGCAAGCACAAAAGTTTGTAAGTATGTAACTGTACCTCATGGTGATTCATTAAAAAAATAAAAATAAAAAAATTTAAAAATGGGTCTTCCTTTCCCGGGAAAGTTCTGGAAGAACATAGACACCAAAGCACACAGTGAGTACCTGAAGATGCTCGAAGATTTGCCAGTGCTATCCATTTTGGGGTCTTGTCCTTCTCTTGGATGGAGCTCACAGATGATCCCTCACTTTATGAGCTTAAGAAGAAAAAAACATTCAGTCTCCCTCCCTGGCAACATCACACCACCGCCCGGCCAGGGCCAGAGAAGCTAGCTTAATGGACTTCCAGTAACTCAGTAACGTTCTGTGAGCGCACTTCTACAATGAGAAAGAAACTGCGCGAAAGCAACGGTGAGCTCACAGAATAGTGAGTAATTGTGTCCCATGTATTAGTGTAGATGGAGCGGTAACACAGTGGTAGGTCGTTTGCCTTGCATGAAGCCAGCCCAGCCGAGCCGGGTTCAATTCCTCCGCCCCTCTCGAAAGCCGGGCAAGCTACCGAGAGTATCTCGCCCACACGGCAAAGCCTGGCAAGCTCCCCGTGACATATTCAATATGCCAAACACAGTAACAACAAGCCTCAAAATGGAGACGTTACTGGGTCCGCTCGAGCAAATCGATGTGAGAGTGAAGGTTGTTTTTTACTGAGCACCCCTGAACCTCTTTTGAAAAACTTTCTATATTGTCTTCTATCTGCCACATCATACACTAGGAATACAGAGAATCAAGGGGTATTTTATTCAGCAAATAATTACTTAGATTTGCTTTACCATCTACACTGATGAACTTAATGCAACTTACAACCTCTTGAGTTCCAGAGTTTGACCAAGCATAGCTCTGCCGTTCTGTTCCTTGGTCCCTAGCCCCTGTGGTTGTTTAGAACTAGGAGCCCCACAGGAAGTCTCATATATGAAGGCTGCCATAATCTGGTACGCCCAACTGTCTCCCATGTCTTTACTCTCTAGGTTAATGCCTTGTTGAATTGTCCGTTTATCAACCTTACAAAATTTAATTAATTTATGCTTTCTTCCAAACATCTTCCTGTTAATGTGCCTTATAAATTCTGATCCTCAGAACAAGCAAAATGATCTGGGTGAGCTGTGTGCAGGGAAGATAAGTGAAATGCAACATTTCTTTACTTCCCCCCCATTTGCAATGCTATTATTAACACTATTATTACCAATTCACTGTACTAGCTTTTCCCCCTTTAAACCCATAGACAGGATACATAGCTAAAAGGGCTGGGGGAGGCATATTTGATCCCCAGCACCATGTGGTTCCCTGAGCACTTCAAGGAACACTAATATTTCAAGGAAGGAATTGACCCAGGGCTTTGCAGATACAAGGCAAGTATTCCACTGTTATACTACTTGGCCAGCGCTGGTTATCTACTGGGAAATAAGCATTTCTCAATGGAACGACCATCTCCAAATGCAACAGCTATGTGTACCTAGGTCGAGAGGTCAACATGACAAATGACCTGGCACCTGAGCTGCGCAGGAGGAAGAGAGCGGCTTGGAACGCCTTCAAGAACGTCGAAGAAATAGCTAAGAGGATGAAGAACCTCTGGCTCCGGGCACATCTCTTTGATTCCACTGTTCTTCCTGCATTAACATATGCCTCAGAGACCTGGGCCCTACGCAAACAGGATGAGAACGCTATTCAGGTCTCCCAAAGAAGAATAGAAAGAGCTATGCTTGGAATATCACGTTTCACTCAAATGAGAGAAAGAATCCGGAGTTCTGACATCCGTCGACGATCAAGAATCAGGGACGCTGTCTCATTTGCCAAGGTGTCGAAAATCAGATGGGCTGGTCACGTAATGAGATTTAGAGACGACCGCTGGACTAGAGCTGTTACCGACTGGATTCCACGGGATGTCAAAAGACCGCGTGGCCGCCCACCTACCAGATGGTCAGACTTCTTCGTCAAGATCATGAACGATCGGTTTGAGGCCCTTCATGTTCCCGGAGCGAACAGATGTCATTGGGCTACACTAGCACGCGACAGGGACAAATGGAGACGTTACTGGCGCCCGCTCGAGCAAATCGACGACTAACGGGAAGTTAAGTGATTAAGTGAAGTGATTAAAGTATGTCTTATTCCATGGTGGATTTGATCAAGCTCATTTTCTCATTTGAACGATTGCTGCCAGGCTTTACGTTTGAGAACTTTCTACTTTGATCGCTGTCATTCATTACAATGATATTTGCCTAGCTCATATTATACAGGAGATTCTGAATCATGCAATACAAAGAAGCAGAGTTTCCCTAGTGTGACTGACTGGCCTAGTACATAAACGTTGTAGGAGTTCAGAACAGAGTTTTACTGGCTAAGTCAATGATGACAGCTAGACAGTGGTGAAAGACTTTCCATTTGCTTAAAATTTGGCAATCTTAATCTCCCAACCTTGATACATAACACTGTTGATTTTGAGAAGCATGGAATCATCAAGGAAATGTAAGTCATCAATAAAAATAACAAAGCTGTAGTACCACAGCACACAATAACCTGTTTCTAGGAAAGAGGTAGCAGGAAGTGTTCAGATTTTTGTTTAGTTTTTTTTCATTTTTTATAATTTTATTTATTGAATCACTGTAAGAGCTGTTACAAAGCTTTAGGGTTTAAGTCTTGGTCATACAATGAAACACCTGTACCTTCACCAGTGCCCATTCTCCACCGCCAAAAACCCCAGTATGCCTCCATCCCACACCCTCCCCCTACCTGTGGGGGAGATGATTTCCACATAACTTTCTCTCTACTTTGATTACATTCAATATTTTGACACCTGACCCACTATTATTATTTGGGATTTTACCCCAACATTCGGATCTTTCAAAAAGGCAACAGTACACAATTTGTTTTCTATTGCTGGTTATGAATAACATATGATGTCTACAGTAGTAGCCGCGTGATTTGGAAATTCTGAAATTTTAACAATTAAATCTGGAGGGTGACTCCCATGTCCAACGTTTAGAATCAGCCTTTTGGAACTGTGAGTTACCATGGATGGTCTTGGTTGACATGATGAACTCAGACAGTCTGTCACCTTGTTCATTCCATTTTAGGCCATGGGTCCCGATGTGGAGTTCATTGGCTGATCTTCTTGGTCCTATTTTGGCATTAAAATCACCCACAATGATCTTGTAGAAGGTGTGGTCTTCTTTATAGAACTTTTCCAGCTCCATGTAGAACTTCTCAATTTCTCCTTCACCATAATTGGATGTTGGTGCATAGACAACAAAGATAGAAACTGCCGGCAGTAAGCCACATCTATTCAAGTGTAATCGTTTGATTCAGGTTGTTAGGCATTCGAATTAATCAATGCTCATAGCTAAGCTCATGTTGACAAGGATACCGACACCACCGACACCTCTTTTGTCACATGTTCCAAGGAACAGTTCTTCTC